GAGAAGGAAATGGCAACCCACTCCAGTATCTTTGCCATGAAAACCCACAGACAGCACCAAAAGGCAAAAAGATAGGACGCCGGAAGATGAGCCCCTCAGGTCGGAAGGTGTCCAATATGCTACTGGGGAAGAGCGGAGGGCTAGTACTAGTAGTGCCAGAAAGAATGAAGCAACTGGGTCAAAGCCGAAAGGACACTCAGTTGCAGATGTATCTGGTGGTGAAAGGAGAGTCCGATGCAGCAAAGATCTATACTCCATAGGAACCTGGAATGTAAGATCCATGAATCAAGGCAAGCTCGGTGTGGTCAAACAAGAGATGACAAGACTGAACATCAACATCTTAGGAATCAGTGAACTAAAATGGGCAGGAATGGGTGAATTTAATTTAGATGACCCTCAGCTATACTACTGTGGGCAAGAATCCCTCAGAAGAAATGGAGTAGCCTTCATAGTCAATAAAAGAATAGGAAAAGTAGTACAATGACAGAATGATCTCAGTTCGAATCCAAGGCAAACCATTCAACATCACAGTAGTCCAAGTCTATGCCCCAACCACTGGTGCTGAAGAGGCTGAAGTTGACCAGTTCTGTGAAGGCCTACAACACCTTCTAGAATTAACACCCAAAAATGATGCCCTTATCATCGTGGGGGACTGGAATGCTAAAGAAGGAAGCCAAAAGATAACCGGAATAACAGGCAAGTTTGGCCTTGGAGTACAAAATGAAGCAGGGCGGAGGCTGGTAGAATTTTGTCAAGAGAATACAATGGTCTTAGCAAACATTCTTTTCCAACAACCCAAGAGACGACTCTACACATGGACATCACCAGATGGTCAACACAGAACTCAGATTGACTATGTGCTCTGCAGCCAAAGATGGAGAAGCTCTATACAGTCAGTAAAAACTAGACCAGGAGCTGACTGTGGCTCAGATCATGAGCTTCTCGTTGCAAAATTTAGGCTTAAATTGAAGAAAGTAGGGAAAAGCACTAGGCCACTCATGTGTGACCTAAATCATATCCCTGATTAATATACAGTAGAGGTGACAAATAGATTTAAGGAATTAGATCTGATAGACAGAGTGCCTGAAGATCTATGGACAGAGGTTCGCAACATTGTACAATAGGTAGCGACTAAAACCATCGCAAAGAAAAAGAAATGCAAGAAAGCAAAATGGCTATCTGAGGAAGCTTTACAAATAGCTGAGGAAAGAAGGGAAGCGAAAGGCAAGGGAGAAAAAGAAAGATACACTCAATTGAATGCAGAATTCCAGAGAATAGCTAGAAGAGATAAGAATGCCTTCTTAAATGAACAGTGCAAAGAAATAGAAGACAATAGAATAGGGAGTGCCAGAGAGCACTTCAAGAAAATTGGAGATATGAAGGGAAAGTTTCATGTAAAGATGGGCACGATAGGGATCTAACAGAGGCAGAAGAGATTAAGAAGAGATGGCAAGATTACACAGAAGAACTACACAAGAAAGAGCTTAACATCCATGATAACCACGATGGGGTGATCACTGACCTCGAGCCAGACATCCTGGAATGTGAAGTCAAATGGGCCTTATGAAGTCTGAGCAACAACAAAGCTAGTGGAGGTGACAGTATTCCAGCTGAGCTATTCAAAATCTTAAAAGATGATGCAGTAAAAGTGCTGCACTCAATATGCCAGCAAATTTAGAAAACTCAGCAGTGACCACAGGATTGGAAAAGGTCAGTTTACATTCCCATCCCAAAGAAGGGCAATGCCAAAGAATGTTCAAACTTCCACACCATTGCACTCATTTCACATGCTAGCAAAGTTATGCTCAAAATCCTACAAGCTAGGATCCAGCAGTATGTGGACTGAGAACTACCAGAAGTACAGGCAAGATTTCGAAGAGGGAGAGGAACTAGAGATCAAATTGCCAACACATGCTGGATCATGGAGAAAGCTAGGGTGTTCCAGAAAAACATCTGCTTCATTGAGCATGCTAAAACCTTTGCTTGTGTGGATCACAACAAATTGTGGCAAGTTCTTAAAGAGATGAGAGTACCAGACCATCTTATTTGTCTCTTGAGAAACCTATATGCGGGTCAAGAAGCAACAGTGAGAACTGGACACGGAACCACTGATTGGTTCAAATTTGAGAAAGGAGTTCAGCAAGGCTGTATGCAGTCGCCCTGCCTATTTAACTTATATGCAGAGCACATCATGAGAAAGGCGGGGCTAGGTGAATCACCAGTTGGAATTAAGATTGCTGGGAGAAATATCAACAACCTCAGATATGCAGATGATACCACTCTCATGGCAGAAAGTGAAGAGGAACTAAAGAACCTCTTGATGCGGGTGAAGGAGGAAAAGTTGGCTTGAAACTCAACATTAAGAAAACTAAGATCATGGCATCCGGTCCTCTCACTTCCTGGCAAATAGATGGGGAAGAAATGGAGGTAGTGACAGATTTTATTTTCCTGGGCTCCAAGATCACTGCAGATGGGGACTACAGCAAAGAAATTAAAAGATGCTTGCTCCTGGTGAGGAAAGCTATGGCAAATCTAGACCGCTTACTAAAAAGCAGAGACATCACCCTGCCAACAAAAGTGCGTATAGTCGAGGCTATGGTTTTCCCAGTTGCAATGTATGGCTGTGAAAGCTGGACCATAAGGAAGGCTGAGTGCCGAAGGACAGAGGCCTTTGAATTGTGGTGCTGGAGGAGACTCCTGCGAGTCCCTTGGACTGCAAGGCTATCAAACCAGTCAGTCCTAGAGGAGATCAACCCTGACTGCTCTTTAGAAGGCCAGATCCTGAAGATGAAGCTCAAATACTTTGGCCACCTAATGCGAAGAAAGGACTCACTGGAGAAGAGCCTAATGCTGGGAACAATTGATGGCAAAAGAAGAAGGGAACAGCAGAGAATGAGGTGGCTAGATGGAGTCACTGAAGCAGTTGGTGTGAGCTTGTGTGGACTCCGGGGGATGGTGGAGGACGGAAAGGCCTGAAGGAATGTTGTCCATGGGGTCGCGATGGGTCGGACATGACTTTGCAACTAACAACAACAATTTATTTATTTATAAAATTTGTATGCCAGCCAATTACTAACGTCTCTGGACAGATAACAGCATAAATAAATTAACGACCCACTCTGGCTGCAAATTAATAAAATACAATATTAAAATTCAATATTGAAACATATTAAAATATTGATTAAATAAAAAGGTCTTAACCTGGTGCTGAAAAACATATAATGACGGCACCAGGCAGACCTCTCTGGGGAGCACATTCCATAGTTGGGGTGCCACCGCAGAGAAGGCCCTCCTTCGGGTACTCTGTCTCCTAACATCTTTCACAGAGGGTTCCCGGAGGAGGGCTTCTGTTGCCAATCTCAGGGGGCAGGAGGGCAAATAAGGAAAAAGGCTTTCCTTTAGGAATCCTGGTCCCAAGCTGTTTAGGGCTTTATAGGTAATGACCAGCACCTTGAATTGAGCCCAGACTTTGTTGTGAAGCCAGTGGAGCTGATAGAGGGCTGGGGTTATATGAGAATAACGCCCAATACCCGACAGCATCCTGGTTGCTCTATTCTGAACCATCTGAAGTATCCGGACTGTTTTCTACGCGGCCACATAGAGCGCGTTGCAGAAATCCAACCGGAAAGTAACCAATGCATGTGTTACTGTTGTTAGGCAATCCTTCTCCAGGTAGGGACGCAGCTGATAGATTTGCCGAAGCTGAAAGAAAGCACTCCTCGCCACTGCTGTCACTTGGGCTTCCAAGGACAGCTCCAGGTCGAGGAGCACTCCCAAGCTGCGGTCCCTGTCCTTTAGAGGGAGTGCAACCCTGCCCAGGGCAATGTCCAAGTCACCTACCCAGAAGCCCGAACCACCCACCAACAGAACCTTTGTCTTATCTGGATTGAGCTTCAGTTTATTGGCCCTCATCCAGCCCATTACCTCAGCCAGGCACCGGTTAAGTACAGCCACTGCCTCACCTGGGTTACTTGAAAAAGAGAGGTAGAGCTGGGTGTCATCAGCATACTGATGACTCCGCAGCCCAAACCTCCTGATGACCTCTCCCAGCGGTTTCATGTAGATATTAAATAGGAAGGGGGACAAAATGGACCCCTGCGGTACTCTATGGCATAGCTGCCACGGCGCAGAGCCAAAGTCCCCCAGCACCACCTTCTGGAATCGGCCGTCAAGGTAGGAGCGGAACCACTACAAAGCAGTGCCTCCAACTCCCAATCCCGTTAGCCTATCCAGAAGGATACCATGGTCGATGTTTAGTTTACAAAGCTGCATGGATCTTGGGATTTGAACAGATGCCCAAGGAGGTACCTGTGCTTTTGTGTGAATGCAGTGTTGTATGTGCATTCCTGGTGAACTGTAAGTTATTAAATCTCATGCTCAAAAGAATAGCTGAGATTGCAGCATGATCCTGTAGACCGCCCCATGGCATGGGGAGAATCTTTCTGATGTTGGCTTCCATCCCTGAGATGGCTCAAGACTTTTCTCATGTCAATAGTAATAATTGTTGTTACATTCATTTCTGTATGCTGTTGTTTATAGTGTTCTTGTTCCTTGTTGCCCAAGGGGCCTGCGTGAGATATTTAAGGTCGACCTCCTTAGCGCCAGTTCTCTGTGCCACGCTGGCTAGTGGTTCACTAACTGATGTGAAATAATAATCGTTTGGAACGTGCATTAGAAGGCAGTAAATAAATAGAACAAATGTTAAAATGCAAAAAGTTTTTACTGCTTCTAATTATTTGTAATTAACCGTTTGATGGTGATGACGATAATAATAGTTTTAAACTGTCAGCGGCTCGAAGAGTCCAATTTTTCTAGATAGACCAATCGGTAGATTTCGTTTAAATGAACAAACTGAAGCCAGGCGATCTGCGGCTCGGCACCACGCCCAAGCACTAGCGTCGCCCCGCCTTTTTCCAACGTTTCTATAGTAACCGAGGCAGAAGCGGAAGAGGTGGCCGGAAGTGACTCTTCACGCAACTGCGGCCTCGCCTTTCCGTCCGCGCGCGCTGACGTGTCTTGAGGAAGTCGGAAGTAGCGGCCGAGAGGTCTGGGCAGTTCTCTGGGCCCCGGGTAACTTGTTTCCCTTCCTTTTCCCTCTCGATATGGCTGCCGCCCGGTCCTTGCTGTCCGCCGTGCTCCTGGCCGCCATGCCGCCCTTCGGTTCGTCCTTCTACTTGCCTGGACTGGCTCCCGTCAACTTCTGTCAGGAGCAAGAGTCGGTCAACCATAAGTGCAAGGTGTGTAGCCTTGACGGACAATGACGACTTTTGCAACGTGAAGGGTCCTCCCTGAAATTTCTCTCGAGGGGAGGCGGTGGGGAGAAGAATCTGTCTGTAATGCTATGTATCTGAAAGGGGTTGGGCTCCTTATCACAGTACTTATTATCTAGTATAGAAAGGGGTAGAAGCAAAGATAAGAATTCTCCCACAGGTTGATGGTTGCCGCTTTTTGTTTGAAAGTTATTTGCACCCCTTTTGTGCTTCGGAAATCAAATGAATGGACATGAAACCATTAAGAATGTCCAGAAATACATCTCCTGCTTAATCTGCATTCTGCCAACAACCAGATATATGAAATGGGCTGCTAAAAGACTGGTTAAGTGAAGAGGCTAGGTTTGGTCTTTTCTCATTACGCATCTTTTATTTTAGAATGTGTTTGCTTCTGAAATTGGAGTGGTGTTGACTTCATATTTGGATGGGACTGTATCAGGATAATTGTTATCCTCCATGAATGCCTGCAATTGCTCTTCTGTGACTCTTCCAAGAAATCCCCCTTCACGGGGAATATTTGTGATACAGTGGTAGTTGACAAGGATTTAGAAAGGACTTATTAAGGAGCATTCGTATTTCTGTCACTTTCAAAGTGGCAGGTATCTCTCCTCCCATACAGATGCTTTCACCACATCCAGGACTCATCTGTTCAAACCTCCTTGGCTAGCTTTAACAAGTACGGCAATGATCAAATGATCACTTGGTCAGATGTGGTAGTGGAAACACTCCACCTGAGTCATCAGGCTGCGAAAAGTAGAAACTGATCCTATTATATTTATCTAGTCACAGCATTGGACACCTCAACTGGCACAGCTGAAAATGCCAGAGTTGTTCTGAAAGTGAACAGTTTTGCCTGGAAAGTACCTAGTAGAAGAATCACAGTGGACTTCTGAAGGTGCTAGGGCTCCATTTACCAGAGACAATATTTGTAACCATCAGATCACTTTTAAAAACTCTTCTGGAAGACTACTTGAAATTGTAGTGGGAACAGTGAAATCAGCCACTGCTGTTCTCACTGGCACGTAGGACACTCACTCTGTGCTAAATTGGCTTTGCAGTCAGGCTTATCCACAGCAAGACTTCTGCCACCTGTGTTCAAGCCATCATCCATCCTGTTTCATTGCCTTCAACATCAGAGTATCGTTGAGGCTAGGTAGCTTTGGAAAAGGCGCCCTGGAATGATTGTATTAATGACCCATTTCATCTTAATTATTTCAAAGTGAAACTGGGGTCTCAACAGTATTGTCACTCTGTTGACTGGACTCCCCCTGCCCAAGTATTAAGGAATCCATTAAATTTCATTAGTTTTCAGTAGCAAACAATTCAAATTGGTTGCAACATCTGCAGGGCAAACTTTGCTAGGAAGCAATCATAATATCAAGGTTATGACATCCCTTTTTTCCACTCAGTTCTTTGCTTGAGACACAGACTAAATCTGTGATATGGCTTTTTTGTGCACTAGGCCAGTAACAAATTGAGACAACCCTGTAGAGGCTGTAAACTCCCTAAAGAGCACTCTAGAACTAACCTTAACATGAATGTTGAAGCCCCCCAAGACTACTGTTCTAGGGTTTAGTTTCTCCAAAGTGTGCAAACCTAAAATCAGTATAGAGGATTGAAGGTTTTTCCTTCCCATGTTGCAGTTTGACTCCATCAGTAGAAATATCTGACATTCTCAAGTTTAATTCCGCTCACTTTATTCTATGGAGATGCTGAAATATTGTCATTCTGGCATTTTTCTTAAGGTGTTAGATTGACAGTCTCAGTGCAATAAAGAGACACTTGTCTATCAGTCTATCTGTCCTGAAAACCTTGTGCGTCTTTTGCTTCACCTGATACTCAAGCCTCTAGCTTAGGTGGCTTTCAAAAACTATTAGACAAACACTTGCCAGAAACATCTATCAGTAGCTGTCACACATGACAGATAACTGAAGGGAACTTCCCAAATTCAGAGGTATGTTAGGGACAAATACTGGGTCAAGACCAGCTTCAGGTCCTGTTTGTACATTTAGTGTTTATGTTTGAATTATTACTGTTGGAATCATAGAATAGTAGAGTTGGAGGGGGCCATGAAGGAAACAGAAAGCTGGTAGATTTTGGTGTGATTCACTTGGCTACTGTCATGGTAGATTATCATATTAGTCCAATTACTCTAAGAATAAATCTATCTGAATGTTTTATCGTGGCACATTAAATTTATTGTTTTATTTACTTATTATATTTATATCCTGCCTGATGTAATTCTGTTCCTCCTTTCAATCTTATTCTCACAACAGCAACCCTGTGAGGTAGATTGACTAAGATTCTATGACTGATCCAAAGTAGCTCCATGGCTGAGTGGGGACTAGAACCCAAATCTCCTGAGTCACATTCCTGCTTCTCTTAATAATTAAACCATACTGGCTGTCATGTTTGGTTCATTTTCACAGCACAGAGCCTGTCGTCTTAATGCTATTGCATCTTCATTATTCCTTTCCCCTGCAAACTACTCTTAGGCCTCCTTGGGAGGTAGGGCAACTGTAGTTTCTACCTGCTAAAAAGTCACATATATGCCTATCTAGCAGTATTATTACTCTTACCAGTAGAAGAGGCTTTAAACCTGTATAACTTGTTTTACAATATTTTCTCCTCACACACCTCTTTCTCGCTCTCTCTTTCTCATGCGCTCTCTCTGGTTCAGAGTTCCTAAGAAGTCTGCCCCTCTTGTTGTTTGTGTATTGATTAGATTTATATCCTGCCTTTTTCTTTTTTTAAAGAACTCAAAGTGGCTTATATCATTCTCCTCCTCCTGCTCTCAATCTTATCCTCGCAACAGCAACCCAGTGAGGTAGGTTGGGCTGAGAGTCTGTGACAGGCCCAAAGTCACCCAATGGTTGAGTGGGAACTACAACCGGATCACCTGAGTCCCAGACCCATGCTCTTAACCACTACACCACGCTGGTTATGTTATACAGTGGATGCTGTACTGTATTCATTAACACAAAAGCACTGGCACAGCAGTATTAAAATAAAATACTAGCACCTGTATAAAGCAGATTCTAGTGTAGACCCTACCTAAGTATTGGGAAGATTATATTATATAGTTCACGAATTCCATATGTATGATGCTTTGAATTGGCTATTTTTACTAGTCCATGTTTGTTCAGCAATAAGATTTTCTTTTAAATTTTTCTTTTAATGTTCTTCATTGACATATCACTTCAGTCTCGATAGGTGAAATAGGTGCATGTAGGTCTAATATTTCCTGTTCATGCAATACATAGTGTTTTATTTCTATTTCATGTATTAGGTTATGCAGTTTGGCCTTTTACTTTGAATAAAGAATGATCAGAGTAATTTCTAATAACCATCAGTATCTCTTAAGTTATTGTCACTCTACTAATCTCTCTTTGTCTCTTTTCAAGTCTGATATAGAGCTGTTTGTAAATAGGCTGGACTCTGTGGAATCGGTCCTTCCTTATGAATATACTGCGTAAGTACATTAGTACTTATTAAATGTTATATGCAATGTGGAATTACTTCCTAAATGCTTGACTAAAAAAATAATAATATTATGACCATGCTATTTCAGGTGGATTGTTAATAATTGATTTATTATACATGTTTAGACAGAAAAAAGACCTTGAACTCTGAGTAGTCATCCCACAGCCTTGCTGGCTGGGGTATGCTAGGAGCTGGCAGGACTTTTTTCCATATAAACACGCATAGGATTGCAATGTTGGCTGCTTGCTATACAATTTTAGCCTGTTAAATGCTGCTTAGAGGTTAGAAGCAAAGGGGAGGGCCTTCTCAGTGTTAGCTCCCCAATTGTGGAATGATTTCCCCACTAAGAACCACCTGCTGCCAACTTTGTTAACTTTTCACAGCCATGTTTAGATGGCTCTCTATGCTGAGGCATTTAAAGACATTTAAAAACATTTAAGGGATTATGGGGACTAATCATACCAGGTATTTGATGTCTGTTTTAGCTGTTTTAAAATATTTGTATTTTGAAAAATTTAATGTTTTTTTTTTAAATTGTCTGTTTTATGAACTGTCAAACAAGACAATCCAATTAACTGTGTGGAAAGTGCGGGCTATTGGGTAGTATATAAATGACATTAATAGCAATGAATATTATTGTTATTACTGCTATTACTACTACTAGGGTAGGATTCACTTATTCTGCTGTAAAAGCTGATTTTGTGATTTATTCATAGTATTTTCAATAAAACATGCTTGGGAATAATGTTTAAACTAATAGGCATTCCTGGTCAGGGAACCATCAGTGTATTAACATAATTTTACTGCATTAATTACTTGTTACACATTAGAATCTCAAATCTAGATATGTAGAAAATGTTTTGTGTTACCAATTAAGTAGCTAATGGAGTCACCTACTTATTAAGTATCACTAGCTCATGAGGTCTACTATGACTGTGTTGGAATAGTTCTATTCTGTATGGTTTTAGCATTTTTATTTTATATGATTTTAATATTCTACTGATGTATTTCTATTTTTAATCTTTGTATATTTCTATTTATTTGTCTAATAAAATAAAATAATTATATATGTTTTAATGTTGTAAGCCACCTTGATTCTCAGTACTGGGAACAGGCAGAATATAAATATAGTAATAATAATCAGCATGCCCACTTCTGCATCTCTGTGTGTCACAGAATGATTAGTACGTGATTTTTTTCCCCTTTCTGGGCACTTAATTTCATGCTTTGAACACAATGCTAAGCTTAGCCAAAACTTTTATTTGGAAAAGTACATACAGAAAGAACAGAAAACTGAAGACAAAAATACTCCACATATATTTTAAGCAGCATATTTATATTTATCAGTGTTTTATTCCCTTGAATAGAGGAATGTGCTTTCAGGATATTGCATTTATCCTGAGGCTAAGGTCACTGGGCACACTTCTAGGGGACTCTTTATACGTAAGTGGACTGTAGAGATGCATAACAGTTTCCAAAAGTAGTAGGGAAGGTCTCCTTAGATTAACTCCTCCCCTCATTCCTACCCCAAGTGACAGAGAGGCACGTGTGTTCTAGCCTTGCACTTGGGATTGAAATCTTTCAACTTTTGAGGCTGGCATGTTTGCATCAACTAAGGCATTCCTTGAAAGGGATTTTGCTGACTTGCTAGTTATAGTCTCTACTCACTGCACCTTCATTCCCTGCTTCTGTTGCTATTACAATTGGTAGCAAATAGAAGAATGTGCTTAGAAAATAACTCCTACTTCTTTTGTTAGAGCAGCTGCTTCAAGTGATAAAACAGCTACCCTGCAAGGATAAGAGAGCCAGTGTGGTGTGGTGGTTAAGAGCCTAGGAATGGGACTCAGCCGATCTGGGTTCTAGTCCCTGCTCAGCCATGGAGCCCACTGGGTGACTTTGGGCCAGTCACAGACTCTCAGCCCAACCTGCCTCACAGGGTTGTTGTTGTGGGGATAAGATGGGGGAGGAGAATGATGCAAGCTGCCTTGAGCCCTTTGTAGGAAAAAGGCAGGATATAAATTGGAAAATAAATAAATAATAAAATAAATCCATATTTTAAGGCATTTCGTCTCAGAGACAACAATGACAATGAGGGGTGAGAAACTTGGTGGAGAGCACAGAGTTATTAGTGGGAAGGGTTCAAGAGTAAAAATCAGCCTTAGCTTAGAGGAACAGCTGTGTTGTAATCTACAGGGCATGTTGTGGCCAAAGTGGGGTTGAGATAAATTTGAGAAGGGGATTAAATTGCTTTCTCTGCTCTACTTTTCCTATTTCCAGTCTATTTCTTTTCAGGAATTTACAAATCCAGTTGCCAGTGGACATCATCCCTGTGTTGTATGCGGAATACAGAATTCTTCTCCCCTCTTTCCAGTAGACTACAGAAAACTTAGTTGTTCATTTCATTTTGTTCTGGACTTGCAGGAGCAGCAAGAGGCATTTCTGCCACTTTTTTCTTTCCTTATTATTTCCATTGTTTAAGCAGGAGCGTGAAAGACTGGTAGGATATATCTGTCTTCATGCTGAGTTTTACAGTAGGTAGAATCAAACATTTGTTTCATCTCTAACCAACGTAAGAGTCAAAGTGTTGGTTAATGAAATAGATTAGTAACTGTCCTAAGATAGCTGTGAAAATGCATTTTGCCAAAGATTCAGATATCTGCAAACATATAGTCTAGACATAAAAGATACTGAACTATGCCATGTTGTGTTTACATATTGGAACATTCTTTCAAGTGGCATTCAGATGTTCTGTATTCTTCTATAGGTTTGATTTTTGCCAAGAACTTGGGGAGAAACGTCCATCTGAAAATCTTGGTCAAGTATTGTTTGGAGAGAGGATTGAACCATCTCCATATAAGGTATATGCTTTATTTTAAAATGAAAGATACACATAATTTACAGAATATAACTAGTAAATCTGGGTTTATGGCATGTTTCTAATTTGTACCAATTTCTGAATGTTAACCAGGGCAGGTTTTAGGACAGGCCTTGCACCACAAGCACATGGGCTCTGGGAGGCCTTACTAATGTTGGACCCTTTTTGACCATGTTGTTTTTCCCCATCCTGCTGTCAGGAATGGCTGGATTTCCTAATTTGTCTGCCATTTAGATTTCTTCACAATACAATTATTGTAATTTGAATCCTGTATTGGAGGAAATCAAAATGGCATTGGTGAGTCCAGTCAAGCAGGCCCATGAACAAGCTACTGGGTTACCTGCCTGGTAGTGATAAGATAACCTGGCAGTAGTGCTGAAAGGAGCAGTGGGCACAGATAGCTAGGCTCACTGGCATTTAAATTTCCCCAGAATGCAAAGCCTGCAACACATGTGTAGTATTGCATTGTGTGGAAATTAAAATGGTATCCATACTAGTGAGTCCAGCTGCATGTGTCTAGTATTCTTGTCGGCAGTCTGCCATCTGGCAGGGCCCGGAGCCTCCTGCTATATGCCAACTGGTTTCACCCTGCTTTAAGAAAAATGCCCTCTTCTATGTAGCTTTCTCTGTATTCTGTGACTACAGAATCTATTCTTTGCTCCAAAATGGGTTTTGAAATTTCATGATTTCCTCTTCAGAGAAAATTATTTCTGCCATTTGGTGAAGGCTCATTTTCACTAATGTGTGTGTGAGTAGAGAGTTGTGAATGAGCATAACTAGCTGGGAAACATACCTGAGTATGCTGCTCCTAGGCATCCCTTATGTTTGACTGGACTCGCCTTTATATTGTTTGCCTAAACTAATTAAACAGAGCTGAGTAGCACTTCAGTCTATTGTTATAAAATGAAAGGTACGCAAGCTGTGGAGAATTGTTGCTTAGAAAACATCTTTCCAGTCTTCACTGGAATTGCTCATAATGATGCACCACTAAGATCAAGATACGGAAGAATGTTACACTCCCAAGATGGTGTCTACCATCATTCATCCCAACCTTGATTGATGCCTTAAACTATTGCACAAGTTTTTGCTTTCTAGTTGTAAAGCTGTTCACATGTTTAATAAAGTTAAGGCCATTTCCATCTCAGTAGTCTGTGCTGACCTCACCCTGCTTGCCACTGCAAGTGATTCTTAGTGATTTGAGGACCAGATTGGATCATAATATAGTATAATAGTTCCAACTTCATGGAAATGTTCATATTTTAAGATGCTCATCTAGCAAAACTTAGATAAGATCAGTATGTATAATTCATGCAGATATTTTAAATATGTTAACTATATTAGTGTTATTAGCAATATGTAGCTGGAGGAGCTGGACCATAAGGAAGGCTGAGTGCAAAAGGACTGAGGCCTTTGAATTGTGGTGCTGGAGGAGACTCCTGCGAGTCCCTTGGACCGCAAGGCGATCAAACCGGTCAGTCCTAGAGGAGAGCAACCCTGACTGCTCTTTAGAAGGCCAGATCCTGAAGATGAAACTCAAATACTTTGGCCACCTAATGAGAAGGAAGGACTCCCTGGAGAAGAGTCTAATGCTGGGAACAATAGATGGGAAAAGAAGAAGGGCACGGCAGAGGATGAGGTGGCTAGATGGAATCACTGAAGCAGTTGGTGTGAGCTTAAGTGGACTCAGGGCGATGGTGGAGGACAGGAGGGCCTGGAGGAATGTTGTCCAGGGGGTCACGATGGGTCAGACACGACTTCGCGACTAACAACAACAAGCTGGAAGAGTCTGCCATTTAGAAAAGGCCTGTAAGCAGAGCTCACTGGCTGTAAGCTTTTATCATATCCTTCTCAACTGATTACATGAATATTTTTTCAGTTCAGTTTTTTTAATTTGAAAGAATTCAAAAGAATTTTTCAAATTCTCCTCTGTTTAAGTGAAGACATAACAGGTCAAAATAGTCTTTAGTTGTGGTTTGGTTGGATTACTTGGCAAACTAAAAACTGTGCAAAAATTTCTTCTTGCAAAACAAATGATGTATTAATTTAACAGGAACATGTAAAAGACTGACTTGAGAACCAGTGGTAAATCAACAGCTAGCAGCTTACTTTTTTGTTATTTTGATTTTCAACTATTGCTATGTTACTGATGTTGCTATAGATCTTCAGATAATTTGGAAATACCCCCCCCCCATAAATAAATTGAGTGAAAATGTGTTAAAGGGAAGCAGTTCCCATAGACTAAATATTTCTCATTTTTTTCAGTTTAAATTTAAGGAAAAAGAGACATGTAAATCTGTTTGTACAAAAACATATGATCTAAAAGACCCGAAACACAAGCAAAAACTAGATTTTCTGAAAAAGAGTATGCTACTGAACTATCAGCATCACTGGTGAGTTCACATTTAATTTTTAATGTTTAAATATAGTTTTAGCAGAAGTTAGGAAATGGTAGTGTATCTACATTTTATCATAAATGGAAGCTACAATAGAGGTGGTGGTACTTTGCATTTATTTGCAGTTTGTCAATACACACTTATACCATGATCTAATCAAATTAAGCTTTTAAAAGACCCAGTCTGTTTCAGTGGTGAAGAGAAATGTATGAATCAAATTAATGTGTTAAAACTTTGGACTAATGATCTTTTACTTTTCATGTAATATTTAACAGTTTAAGTTGTATAGTATTTGCATAAGAATAGAACCTGCAGGATTTCTGTTGAGGAATGGCTGTTCCGCTGACAGCTTGCTTAAAATCCTAAATTAGAACACATGAGCAGAAGGTAGATTGGGGTCTGCGAGTAAACTTTTAAATAATTTGCTGTAGATTTCAACAGAGGGGTCTTACCATCAGTGGCTTTTCAGAAGCAACAACAAAATACTTTTTTCTTCTAAATTATTCAGCTGTAACCAAGAAAACATGGAAGAAAAATATTTATTATATTGCACTTATCTCCCATTGGGAACTCAGGGTGGCTACATGCAATTCCCAGGTGGTCTGCACTTCAACATGCTCTGAGTTAGGCAGAGTTTGTGCCTGCAAGGATTTTGTTTGTGTACTCCACTTGTGGCACTGAAAACAAATATCTGACTGAACATGTATTCAGAGGTGTCTTGTTCCAATTCTAAATCTAAGTCTGTTTTTCATCTGACTCAGGTTGGTGAAGTTTATGGTGCTAGAGGAAAAAAGTAGATCTTGCAGTCCAGAGATCTGCCTACTATGAGATTAGAAAATGGCTTAATCCGGCTAGTACAAGTTAAATTAGCATTTTAAGAATAATTTTATTACTATCCCTTCCGTTTGCAGATCAGCTGACTAGTTTGGGATAGGCAGGATGTAGTATGGCCTGGTTTACATATAATGTTTCAAAGTTTTATTGTTTTCTACTCACTAAACAAATAGTTATTCCAAAGACTTCAAACATACTGGGTACAAAGTCTTATTTCTCTCTACTATTGCTATGTATTTCAACCCTAATTAAAATTCCCATGTTTGGTAGTAAGCTGTATCTTCTTTTTCCTTAAGGGATAAAGTCAGTCTGTTCATTTCCACGCAGTCCAATATCTTGTTTAAGGTCAAATCTTCAGTCAGTAACTCTTCATTCCTCCAACATTGTGCAATACAATCCTCACCACTGTAATTACATGTAAAGTCAAATATATACTTTGTTTATCAAAATCGTTGGGGAGAATGCCTAACAAAAAGATTTCTGGTTTAAACATTACAGATCTTTGCAACATTTCCTCAAGCCATCTATGTATTTTAACCCAGTATTTTTTTGCTTTGTCACAAGTCCACCACATGTGGTAAAAGTACCAGATTTTTGTTTTCATTTCCAACACTTGTTTGACATACTCAGAAACATTTTAGCTAATCTATTTGTGACAAATACCATCTATAAAACATTTTATATACATTTTCTTTATATGAAGTTGCCAAAGTTATCTTAACATTTCTTTCCAACAACTTTTGCCACCTCTGCAATTCAATGTTATACCCAAAGTTTTATCCCCATGATATCATAGTTTCTTTAACTTGTTCATCTTCCATTTTCATTTCTGAGAAAGTTATACAATCTTTTAATCTTTTTTCATCTGATTTTAAAATTAATTGATCAAACATAGTTTGGACCTTATAGAAACCATACATTTTAAAATCTCCTGGTGGCATGATTGTATTTGTACTTGATGCCACCAGGAGAGATCAGTACCCTGCTCTTGAAGTCCTTGATTTGATTTCAGTCTTCCATCATTATCCATGATATCATTATAAGTCACAATCTTACTGAAATTGAATGCGTTTGGGTATACAAAAGCTTCCATGGGAGAAATCCATCTCTGTACCTTATTATAAAGTTTTATCTTTAATTTTTCCCAAACCAAAATCAGTGCATTTCTAATATGGTGATTTTGAAAGTACCCATGCATTTTACATTTCTCATACCACATAAAAGCATGCCAGCCCATTTGCAAATCGTGCCCTTCAAGATATAAAATTCTTTTGTTCCTTAATATTATCCATTCTTTTAACTACACTAAAACACATGCTTGATAATACAACAACCAATGTGGAAGACCAAAACCCCCATTTCTTTTGGTCTCCTGAAGCATTTTTACTTTAATTCTTGGTTTCTTCTTTTGCCATATAAATCTCAAAATGTGTATATTTAAATAATCAAAAAACGTTTTCTCAATTTTTATGGGAATTGTTTGAAATAAAAACAAAATCTTGGGCAATATGTTCATTTTAACTATAGCTATTCTTTCCAACAACAATACTTGTAGATTAGACCATTTTTCTAAGTCTGCCCTAATCTTTATAAACAGTTTGATATAATTATCTTGCTTCAATGTGACTGTTAGATGTATTCCCAAATATTTGACCTTTTTCACTATTTGAAGATCTACTTGTTCCATCAAAGCTGTTCTTTGATTCAGTGTACAGTTTTTTTTACTAATAATTTAGGTTTTTCTCTGTTTATTTTCATCCCCATAACTTCTCCATAGTCTTCTATTATTTTTTTTAACAATTTAGGTACTGTTGCCACGGGATCTTCTAGAATAAAAACTAAGTCATCTCAAATGCTTGGAGCTTATAAATTTAATCTTTAATTCTAGTTCCTTTAATCTCCATGTCTTTCCTAAATTTTTTGTTAAGAACCTCTAAGATTAATATGAATAACAGTGGTGACAAGGGACATCCTTGTCTTGTGCCTTTTTGGGTATTTTTGGTCTCTGTAAATTCTCCATTAATTATTATTCTGGCAGTCTGTTTTTGATAAATAGTTGTTATTACATTTATGATTTTTTCACCAAAGTCCATTTGTTTTAATTGTTCTTTCATAAACTACCAATTAACATTGTCAAATGCTTTTTGAGCATATAAAAACAGTAATGCAATTTGTTTTTCAGAATTAACTTCATAATACTCTAGAATATCCAATATAATGCTCATATAATGATCTGTATGTATAAAGTGTGTTAGAATTTTTTTCAACATTTCTGCCATTACCGAGGCAAACATTTTGTCATCCACATTTATTGGATTACAAAATGATTGCAGTGATACTGGTCTATACAGTCAGTATCTTCTTTCAGTTTCAAGGTAATATTTGCCTCAGTGCATGTATTCAGGATGTTAGCTTCAGATAAAACTGCATTACATACATCCTTCAATGGTATATTTAAAATGTCTTCAAAACATTTATAATAGTCCACTGGTAGTCCATCTGGGCCAGGAGTTTTATCATTTTTCTGTCTTTTAATCGCTTCACTTATCTCTGTCATTGTTACTTCCTCATTTAATATTTTTTTATAGTTCTCTGGAAATTTTGGTAGGTTTTCCTTTTGTATATATTCTTGAATATTCTCAGCTGATGCCTCTTTAGCTTGGTATAATTTTGTGAAGAACTTTCCCACTATTTTCTGGCTTACATATAATGCATTTGTTATCCTTCTTGGGGTTTGTCTGGTGAATGATCAGAGAAACTGTGGTTTATCTTCTCATTTCTTGGGTTTTTTGTTTCCTTCCTCCTTTGCCTCTTCTATCCCAAACACCTTTGTGGTACTGTAGTACTGCCATTAAGATTTTGACCACTCTTGCCCATTCTGTGAAAGGTGCTGCAAAATACCCACTATTCAGGATTTACCCATGACAAGAAGGTATTGTTAGAACAACCTAGAATTCTCAGCAGAACTACAAACCATGAGTTCCCTTCCTGGGTATTTTTGAACCCTCCCTCTTTGCCCAACTCTCCCTGTATCTCAGATACCTTTGTGGTGATGTGCCTTCATACATAAGAATCATAATCCAAAAATACATAGGATAGTGTTACTTGTGTTATAAGCCTTTGTAATTTGCTAGATGCTTGCGAGCCATGAACTAGAGCATGGTAAAAAAGACATACACTTAGATTTATTAATATTATTTATTAATATAAATAATCAGAGCTTTATCTCACTCTGATAAAGGATTCTAAGTCCAAGATTTTTATTTCAGTCAAGTATCCAAATTAAGTAGAGCATATAGACTTTCCATAGAAAAAATGTTCTGCTTGTTACTTCAGATTTTCTGAAGATTTTCTTCATTTCAGTAGTGTTTAATAATTTAGGGTGAGAGTGGCCATCATTTTGTTACAGCTATTACATTTAGGTTTCAGAAATGCTTGCCAGTTTACTGTAAATCACAGAAGGACCTATCTATAATCTTTATCTAGTTTTTGCCTACCCTTGGCCTGTGATGAAAAGGAATGAGGGGAAAAACAGGGAGAATAAAGGGAAGACAAGGAGAAGGCAGGTGAAGAATCCCAAGAGAAGCAACAGTGAGGATGGTGGAGGAAAACCAAGATGGATGAAAAGGCAGGCAAGAAAGCTGAACAAAAGAAGATGGGAGAGACCAAGAACAGATAATACATACTGTTGAGGCTATAGCGACTCTTGGCTGGGACAAGAAATCAGATTTCAGGCTGGTGGAGAGCCCACCATACAGAAATTCTGCCTCCTTATGCGAAAGAAAGTCTTTGCTTGCTCCCTGTATCACTACCAACCAGGTTGGAATAAATGAGCAACATAACAGTTCTGTTCCTGAGAGCAAGTTAAACTGGGGGTTTGAATAGAATTGTGTATGAGATACAAAGCAACAAGAGGAACTGTTGGGAAACCAATCAACAGCTTTGAGCTTATTGCAGGCTATTTGGTCAGAAGTTCCTGGGAACAAAGGTTGTTTCCTGGAGAAGAGAAAATCCATTTTGTGATCTATAGACCTGACTATTGTTTTATGGAGCATTAAAACTTTTAATCTTGAAGTTTAAATGGATTTTTGAGGAATGTATCTAGGAAAGACCTCAAAGTCAATGCAAACAGCTTTTCACTGATGGAAGCAAGAGATCAGTATTTCACTTCCTCCAGACCCATATTTACATAAACACACATAGATAAACTGTAATGCCATTCTTGTTATCAATCTGCTGATTTTCTTTGTTGAACCAGAACAAAGAAAAAAGAAACTTAATGGTAAATGACATAGTCTCTCAATATTTTTGTATGTCTTCATAATATTAACCCACTCTGTGATGTTTCATTTAGTCAGAGATACACATTGGCCTGGTTTGGGTGTAAAGTTACATGATTGAGACTTGAGCTTGTACACTCCCTCGCAATCTGAGGCCTTCTTTGGTAGTAGCTCTCCAGCTTTTCAGTGCTCTCATTAGGGAAGTTTGCCTGGCATCCATGTTGTTATCTTTTTGCAACCTTTTGCTCTCTCAGGCATTTTAAATTTTATTGTAAGTAATAAAAAATGTATTCTTTTTTTCCCCTTGTGATGAGTTTTTTAGCTTTTCCCTTTGTAATTTGCATTGTATTTTACCATGATGTTTTGATATAAAGCACAAGAGCTATGCTGGATCATGCCAAGGCTCCATTTAGTCTCACATTCTGTTCACGCAGCAGCCAACCAGCTGCTTTTGGAAAAGCAGGACATGAGTACAGTAGCAACTTTGCCTGATTTTCTCCCTAGCTCCTTAGGTTTACTGCCTCTGATATTGGAGGTGCCATATAGTTATCAGGACTGGTAGCCACTGAGAGCCTTATCTTCCATAAGATATTTTTAACTTTTTCATACTATATTGAATTTTGTTAATCCATCGTGTTTTTGTTACAGGTTTTTATATGTACCATACAACACCTAAAATACATTTCATGAGGCATTTAATAAATGTAAAAAAAATCACTGTTTTTTATAGGATTGTGGACAATATGCCTGTAACATGGTGTTACGAAGTGGAAGATAACCAGAAGTTTTGCAATCCTGGATTTCCCATTGGCTGTTATATAACAAAAGATGGTCATCCCAAAGATGCTTGTGTTATTAGTGTAAGTTTAAATATATTTTTACTTATTTGTACAGAATTACTTTACATCTTTTTAAATTTTTAGTGTCCATTATTCCATACTTTATGAAAGTATGTTACTTTTAGGATCATAGTATCATCACAATTTACAGAGCCATTCTATAAAGGAAAAGGACAGATGCTCAAGCCTTGTTCTAATAACAATAGACCCTTAAACTGTTTATTGTGCTGCTCAGTCTGATGTCTGCCTTTACCATGCTGAGACTGCTCAGTACAATTGAGACATTGCTAAATTAATCTCAGCAACCTATGATCTTCCTATTATTATGGGGGCTAGTTGTTGTTTAGTCACAAAGTCGTGCCTGACCCATCACAACCCCATGAACAACATTCTTCCAGGCTCTCCTGTCTTCCATCATCCCTCAGAGTCCACCCAAGCCCACACCCCCTACCTCAGTGACTCCATCTAGCCACCTCATCCTCTGCTGTCCCCTTCTCGTTTTGCTGTCAATCGTTCCCAGCATCAGGGTCTTCTCCAGTGAGTTGTTCCTTCTCATTAGGTGGCCAAAATATTTGAGTTTCATCTTCAGTATCTGTCCTTCTAAAGAGTGGTCGGGGTTGATTTCCTTTAAGATTGACTGGTTTGATCTCTTTGTGGTCCAAGGGACTCTGGGGAGTCTTCTCCAGCACCACAATTCAAAGGCCTCACTTCTTCAGCGCTCAGGCTTCCTTATGATCCAGCTTTTCATAGCAACTGGGAAAACCATAGCTTTGACTATATGAACTTTTGTTGGTAGGGTGTCATCTCTGCTTGTTAGTATGCTGTCTAGATTTGCCATAGCTTTCCTCCCAAGGAGCAAACGACTTTTAATTTCTTGGCTGCAGTCCCCATCTGCAGTGACCTTGGAGCCCAAGAAAATTCAATCTGTCACTACCTCCATTTCTTCCACACCTATTTGCCAGAAAGTGAGAGGACCGGATGGCATGATCTTAGTTTTCTTGATGTTGAGTTTCAAGGCAGCTTTTGTGCTCTCCTCTTTCAGCCCCATCTAGAGGCTCTTTAATTCCTCTTCACTTTCTGCCATTAGAGAGGTATCTTCTGGGTATCTGAGGTTGTTGATATTTCTCCCGGCAATCTTAATTCCAGTGTGTGATTTATCTAGTCCAGCCTTTCTCATGATGTGCTCTGCATATAAGTTAAATAGGCAGGGGGACAATATACAGCCTTGCCATATTCCCTTTCCAATTTTGAACCAATCAGTAGTTCCATGTCCAGTTCTCACTGTTACTTCTTGACCCGCATATAGGTTTGTCAAGAGACAAATAAGATGCTCTGGTACTCCCATCTCTTTAAGAACTTGCCACAATTTGTTGTGATCCACACAATCAAAGGTTTTAGCATACTCAATGAAGCAGATGTTTTTCTGGAATTCCTGAGCTTTCTCCATGATCCAACATATGTTGGCAATTTGATCTCTAGTTCCTCTGTCTCTTCAAAACTCTGCTTGTACTTCTGGTAGTACTCAGTCCACATACTGCTGCATCCTAGCTTGTAGGATTTTGAGCATACCTTTGCTAGCAATGGTGCAGTAGTTCAAACATTCTTTGCCATTGCCCTTCTTTCGGATTCCAATGTAAACTGACCTTTTCCAGTCCTGTGGCCACTGTTGAGTTTTCAAATTTGCTGGCATATTGAATGAAGTACTTTAACTGCACCATCTTTTAGGATTTTGAATAGCTCAGCTGGAATACTGTCTCCTTCACTAGCTTTTGCTAAGACTTCCTAAGGCCCACTTGATTTCACATTCCAGGATGTCTGGCTCAAAGTCAGCGACCAGCCCATCGTGAATATCAGGGACGTTAAGATCTTTCCTATATAGTTCTTCTGTGTACTCTTGCCACCTCTTCTTAATCATTTCTGCCTCTGTTAGATCCCTGCCATTTTTGTCCTTTATCATGCCCATCTTTGCATGAAATGGCAGGGACCTAACAGAGGCTTCTTCATCTTTGGCTGCAGAGCATATAGTCAATCTGATTTCTGTGTTGACCATCTGGTGATGACCATGTGTTGGAGTTGTCTCCTGGGTTGTTGGAAAAGAGTGTTTGCTATGACCAGCATATTCTCTACCAGCCTGTGCCCTGCTTCATTTTGTACTCCAAGGCCAAGCTTGCCTGTTATTCCAGTTATCTTTTGGCTTCCTACCTTAGCATTCCAATCCCCCATGATGATAAGGACATCATTATTTGGTGTTATTTCTAGAAGGTGTTGTAGGCCTTCATAGAACTGGTCAACTTCAGCCTCTTCAGCATCAGTGGTTGGGGCATAGACTTGGACTACTGTGATGTTGAATAGTTTGCCTTGGATCTGAGATCATTCTGTCATTTTAGAGATTGCATCCCAGTACTGCTTTTCCTACTCTTTTATTGACTATGAAGGCTACTCCATTTCTTCCGAAAGATTCTTGCCCGCAGTAGTATACCTGATGACCATCTGAATTAAATTCACCCATTCCCGTCCATTTTAGTTCATTGATTCCCAAGATGTCAATATTCAGTCTTGTCATCTCATGTTTGACCACATCCAACTTACCTGGATTACATTCCAGCTTCCTATGCAGTGTTGTCCTTTACCGCATCCGACTTTCCTTTCACCACTAGATACATCCACAACTGAGTGTTCTTTTGGCTTTGACCCAGTCTCTTCATTCTTTCTGGTGCTACTAGTATTAGCCCTCTGCTGTTCCCCAGTAGCACATTGGACACCTTCTGACCTAAGGGGCTCATCTTCCGGCATCATAGCTCTGCGCTTTAGAACTGTCCGTGGCGAGAACTGTCCATGGCAAGGATACAGGAGTGGGTTGCCATTTCCTTCTCTGGTGGATCACGTTTTGTCAGAGCTCTCTGTTATGACCTGTCCATCTTGGGTGCCGTTGCACGGCATAGTTCATAGCTTCATTGCACTACTCAAGCCCTCTCACCATGACAAGGCAGTGATCCATGAAGGGGGAGGGACTAGTTAAAGGAGAATAAAAGAACACAACGTTTCATGACAAGATATACTGAAAATAAATGCTATTATTTCTTGATTTTCCCAGGTGTTATCTCCAGTCTTGAGAATCTTGTTTTTCGAACAAATTGAAGGAGAACTTGCTTTGGAAATAATCTAATTTTTTCCTTGATTTTGTGTAGCATTTGAAACTATGGGATTACTTTGTCCCATCAAGCATTATGTTGCTTTTGTCTGTCCATAGCATTCATGATATTGTATAACAAAGCAAGTGTGGCTTGTTTTTTACAATTTGAGCATTTAAAACTGGCTTTATTCGATAAAGGTAGTTGGTTGAAAGTCAGCCTACTCTTATTTTTATTTCTTGTATTTCAAATATTCTGACTTGAAATACAAGTACTCTGACTTAAATTACAAGAAATATAAGGATCTTTGTTGAGACTATTGGTTCATCTGGTCCAATACAATGGTTCAGATCTTTCTAAAGCACTTCATCTTTGAAAGTCATAATTTATGTTCATGTACTATTCTTATTCCTGTTTGGTTAACCTTTTGTTTTATTGAAGTCTGAGTTCCATGAGCATGACACCTTCTATATATTCAACCATGTGGACATCAGGATAGTGTACCATATTGTAGAAAATGAAGCACCTAGTGCAAGACTAGTAGCTGCTAAACTTGAACCAAAAAGGTGAGTATCCACTTTTATTACTATGAAACACAAGATTTGGACTGTACAAAGTAAATAAGATCTTGCTGGTGATCTTAAAACTTTTGCAAGATTTAAGAATTCTTTGCAAAGCAGCTACAGTGAGCTTGATATAGTGTCACATATTTGATAATAATGGACAAATTAAATGCTTTATCATGCTAATAATGTTGTCAATGTTACTTGAGATAGTGGCTTAAAATATGTGCATTTGTATTCACTTTTTATCCACTTTTCAATCTGTAAAGGATCATATGTCCTTCAAAGGCTCAGTTGCTTCTACAGCATTGTAAATTAATCCATGACCAGAACACCAAACAGACTGGTCCATCCCTGTCCCTTTGGGATCTGAATTACAGCAAGAGTCTACCAAGTTCATGAGATAACTCTTTCTGCTTAATGAAATGAGAAGGCCTGGAAAAATTCTCTGTAGTCCAACAACTTGTATCCAATGTTAACCTTTAAACTGATTGCAATCAATTTTACTGTAATATCGTTGTTCTGTCCCTTTGTCTTGAGAAATTGCATGACAGCAGGAGTGGTCATGACAGATCTTGAGGTTCCATGAATGGATTCAGTGTAATCTTTCTCATGTATGTTATTTTTAATTTGTTCTGCTTTTTAGGTATAACTGAACTTATTTCTTCATAGGTCAATCTCATTCAAGTTTTGCTGTTAAAATTCTGTAACCAAGAGCAAATGAACACAATATACATGAATCTTTGTTCTCTCTTTCTTTTAACAGTTTTAAGCACACAAATGTTGACAAGCCAGACTGCTCAGGACCACCTATGGATATAAGTAATGAACTTACTGATGGAATAATCAAAGTAGCTTATACATACTCAGTTACTTTTGAGGTTTGTTTACTTACAGCTTTTAACCCTCTGATTTTGTGAAGGCTGTGTAACTTGGAAAAGTCCTAGTATGTTAATGAAGTTTAATGGAATATAGTGGCATATTAATGAAATCCTTAGTTAACTGTACTTTATCTGAAGCGAGGAATGGATAATTAGTGGTCTTTGGGCTAGTTTCTGGCAGCTCTTTGCAAGCAAGCAACTTTACCAAGAGTTACCTGTTTCTCTCCCAAAAGGCAGCTAGGCAGGGAGGAGAAAAGAAAACAGAGAAGTGGCACTGACTCACTGTTATCTTTTGCCCTGCCCAGCATTGCATGTGGACCCCTGAGGGAAGGCAGCCTTGACAAAGAAATGGCTCCTGAACTCACTCTAAAATTATGAATAGAGGCATAATTCTTATAGATAAGTCAATATTGCTTGCTTAGAATTCTTGGATTTCTCATAAGCAACATAGTGCCCAGCCAAAAATAGTAGCTGTGTAGCAGCAAACTAATGTGATATGTGTGTTACCAGTCTTACAGCATAATCTGTAAACACAATCTGAGCATGATTACTCAGAATCAAGTTTTCTAAGTACAATTGGTCTTACTCTCAGGTACGAATTGCTGTCTCAGTGATAGATCTGTTTATGCAGAGTGTAATCTTCCAGAAAGCATAGAAGGAATAGTAGCTACTTGTCATTTTAAGACTTCTGTAGCTCTTGTTGAAATGAGGACCAGTCATACAGTATTGTATCAAATAACATTTCTTATGAAGAAATTCATTTATTCGTTATTAACACAGAATCTATTTTAACTGGTATCTTGACATCCTATTGGAGAATGCTTGTGTTTACAGCATAGAGTTGGGATAGCATAGTAGTTAAGAGACTGAGCTACAAATTAGGAAGTCTTGCTTGTGTAAACAACTTACCACTCTTTTGCACTCACTCTGATCGTTTAATGGGGAACAGTAATACTCATTTTACAGTGATTTCATAACTATTATAATTAGATAACACATATTAGCTACTTGGAAGCACTATACAAATAACAACAAATAAATTCTTCATGGTATGAAAGTTGCTTCACTGAATCCAGTGATGATTTTGTGGTAAGAACCAAATTCAAATGAACCAAGTTCAAAAGTATGTCAAAAAATGAAAAGTTTTTGTGATCCTGAAGAATGTTTGGTGCCAGATTAAATGTCATTATTTTGCCATTTCCAGTAAAAATTAGCAAAACTATTCTAACTGTAAGACATGTAATACTGAATAATTTACTTTTTTAGGAAAATAAGGACATCAAGTGGGCATCTAGATGGGATTACATTTTAGAATCTATGCCCCACACACACATACAGTGGTTTAGGTAAGGACATTGTTTTAATTTTGTAATTCAGGATGTTTCAGCACTTTTTTGGTTATAAAAGATATGCATTTTGACAGCTGGTCCTCTTTTGTAGCATTATGAATTCTCTGGTGATTGTACTTTTCCTCTCTGGAATGGTAGCTATGATCATGCTAAGGACTCTGCATAAAGATATTGCAAGATATAACCAAATGGATTCCACTGTAAGTATGTTATTTTAGAAACTCCGTTTTCCAGGTGGTGGAGAGTTTCTTAATTTTTCCAGTCTGTAATAGATCTAATAGGTCACATATGCTCATGTTATACACTGAAGTATTTTCTAAATTATTTTAGTATGAAAAATAATTGTGATACATTTTATCACTGGTTTAATTGTATCTGTTTTTATTATGTACTGTATATCGCTCTGAGAGTTTCAACTAGAGGGCTGCTCATTGATTGAATAAATAATAAATATTGGTGTGGAGATCTAGTGTGGATGCCTGCACCTCAACTGTTTACTGGATAAGCATACAGGCCGCAGATCAGTTATGATGCAGTACAGATAACCTTCATTTTGTTTCAGTGGTATCTGTTGGAGACAACTACATTTTAAAGTAAAAAAAACCCCTCATTTGTAAATGAGTCAACTCATTTCTAGCTGTATGAAGTTATGTAATCATCCTCATGTCACAATAAGAATGTTGTGTTCTTGTTTTGTTTATTGATTTATTAGAAAGGTTATGATCCACCTATTTCCCTAAAAGGGAACCAAGGTCGACAGTATTCTAGAACTTGCAAAGGCATGTTCTAGAAGCAAGCAAATTATAAAAAATAGAAGTAGAGGATAAGGGCTATTGAAGCCACATGCCTTCTTAAAGACCCACATTTTAGTAAAGTGTCTCTGAGCATTCTGTAAAGTGGATGCAAACACTGAAAATGCCCTAGACCTTTTGGCTGCCCTCCAGTCTTCATGGGTCTGGGGAACCTGAAGGGATGCCCTAACGATAACAGGTGCATTTGGGGAGGACATATTAACACATATATTATAAAACATATATTTTATTTGTTCATTTGATGGACAAAAAGGAAGCTGAAGTGTGTGTGACTAGGTAAAGAATGTCTTTCCTCCCCACTTTCCTCCTTTCTGAGTCATGACTTCAGTAAGTGTGGTTTTACTTGATATTTCATAATGTTGTAAGTGAAGCCAAATTTGTTTGTTTATTATATGTTTGCAGATAGTACACACTATCCACCTGTGAATTATGGATAGAATAATTGAGATAGTTACTTTTTCCAGTTCTATGCTTCTATGTGGATAACCCGGTACCAGTGTAATATGTTGGTTAATATTCTTATTTCCTTTTCAGGAAGATGCCCAGGAGGAATTTGGCTGGAAACTGGTTCATGGGGACATATTTAGACCCCCAAGAAAAGGAATGCTGCTTTCTGTTTTTCTAGGCTCTGGAACACAAATTTTAATTATGACTTTTGTTACTTTATGTAAGTGAAATATTTATGTACGAGTAAAACAGGGCATGTTTACATTATTGATCAAGAATACTCAGTGTAGTGTAATAATACCTATCTTCTTTCTGACATGTAAGCATGTCCCTCATCCATTTTCTCCTGGTTTCAGAGATAATTTTGGTTAGTATTGGATGTGTTGGTGTTCTTTTATAATTGCTACCAACCAATGTTCAAACCTTTGTTAGAGGCTAACTCAGGTTAATGACAGTCAGCATAAATGCAGTACAAACCACAGTTTGGTCCAAAATTGAAAGTTGGATAGAAGGATGCAGTATGTATAAGCCTGTAGGGAAGGAGGAGCTCTTATACTTAGTTTAAAGTACCCTGCAGTCACTTTAACTGTGGCTGGTGATCTGGAAGCATTCTGTTTGCACAAATCTTAAATATATGAAATTCCCAAAAAGGAAGGGAAGTAGGGCCAATCCATCAACTCTGCGAAAAGTTGAGCTGCCTTCATTTCTTCCTCTCCCGTAACAGTAATCATTCCATCAGACTAGCAGAAAAAGACATGTGAAACATACACTAATAAGTAAAAAGGTTTGTTATTTGATAATTTATCTTTTTAGATAGGTATATTTTAAAGTTTCTCAGACAGACAGTAATCCTGCAATTCTGCCTGTAGGATTGTTAATAGGATAAAATACGAACAATCCCCCAACTAGTGAAGGCAACTTTGTGCTATTCATGGTTTTGTTTTTTTTTTCTAAAATATGTTTTGTTTTTGCAGTAAACCCTACTGTGGTTTTCCCCATGTTGATAAAAGAGGGAAGCCCTGTGTTTTCATCCCAGAGCATAAGCACAGTTGAATGAATAAGCACAATGATTTTTTGTTGTCATTGTTCACCTTGATCATTAAGTTCCCTCCCGGTGAAGGATGCCATTAGAAGTCTCGTGGTATGAAAATACAATAATCAGGAATACAAAAATGACTCTGGGGATTAATTTCAGTAATTTTGGAGTTCAAATTTATTTTCCCCACAAAAAACCTGGTGGGAGATGAATCTGAAAGTTAAAGTAGATGACAGGGACTGGCAAAACTCATGGGGTAAGTCTCCCTTTAGATCAATTTTAGCACACATTAGAGAAATGTTTTTTAAAATTGTTCATGGCTGGTACCTCACCTTGAGATGCCTCTCCCTTCTGACTCATTCAGTTATCCCACAGTGTTGGAGAGGATGCCAGGAGTCTGGCACATATTTACATATGTAAAGAAGTTCATTTGGAGGTAACAGTAATATCTGGGATTGGTTTCATTACAAGCCAACATATTCCAAACTCACTGACACTATCAATACTGAATATCTCTTAGGGAGAAGCTAACATTTTGAATAGTATGGAATTAATTACTCACTTGTTGCCACCAGGTTCACAGCCACATTTGGTAAAGATTTCAGGGATTCGATTATTGGTACAAAATAATATGGCAAATGGCCTTGATGAGGGAAAAAACTCATTAGTTGAAGGTGACAAGGGGTCTAAGTAAACATTTTATGAAGTTTGACATGACTTTATTGTTTACATGAATAGGTCAGGCAATCAATATAATATTCTCACACAATACCAAACACTCTTGGTATAGTAAAGAATTCTGAAAAGAAAGAAAAATGATTGTATCACAGATTATTATTTAATGAAACAATTTGGGTTGAAACAAAGATCTTGATATAGCACAGATTAAATATTTGTATTCTTTTGTATTATTTCCTTTCTGTCTGGTTGTTAAAAGAAATGGGAAACGGGACACCATTGGCTTTGCTAAGAGACCATATCTCTGAACTACTTCTATCTCAACTGGTCCTTATAAAACCTTGTAACTTTAAGAACTGGTGTCTGAGTTTGGTTGTTGTTGTTCTTTTAATACTCTGTTCCAGTCCCTTATGTTGTGTCATTTAGATTGGAAGCTCAAGAGGAGGAACAGCTGAGAAAATAATTGTCTCAGTAACAATAAATAGCATAGTATTGTTAGTATTTTTAGCCACTAAGTACAATAGATAAGGTAATGATGTAAAGCATGTGCTTCTTTAAGTTCCTTTTAAAGACTGTGTGTCTGATTTTTTCAGTCTTTGCTTGCCTGGGATTCTTATCACCTGCAAATCGGGGGGCATTAATGACCTGTGCTGTTGTCTTGTGGGTGTTGCTTGGAACCCCAGCAGGTTTTGTTGCTGCCAGGTTCTACAAATGTAAGTATAAAAATTTATTTAATGTGACAGCACTTAAGTTCATTAATCTAAATTATCATCACAGCAGTGATTCCCCCCATCCCATTTGCCTCCTGGGCAAGACAGATAAATGTTTAAAATTAAGGAGAAATTACATGCAGGTTTAGATAGTTCTTGTGCTAGTAAACTTTCAAATTGGCGAATGGATGAGCTCTTATGTCAGTTGCTTTCACTGAGATCTTATCAGCAAGGTAACTGGTATAAGACTGTAGTGGAATGCATACTGTTGGTAGCTTTTGAAATGTTGCTTCTGCATTCTGTGGTTTACTTAGAAAAGTGCCAGTCATTCAAAATATATCCTGCTTTACTGAACATATCAATCAATGTGCAGCTTTATTTTAGTATGCATGGTTATGCATATGTTGTGCATTGAATCAGTAACATTGCACTGATCCAAAACTGTGTAAGCCATTTCATTTGCACTGTTTGACTCTGGGTGTTACTGTCAGTGAAAGAAGTCACAGTATTCCCTTTTGGGTAGGCGTCTTTAACAAGGGTTAAATCATATGGTGATATATAGATATGCAACTTCATACTGTGCCATTGACTGTATTATACAACAATAAAGTAGCAATAATCAACTGCCAGGTGAGACAGCTATCTTTTGATTTGGTTGTGTTACAAAAAGAACAAAATAACAATTCTCTTGGGCCAAATAAATGCAATGCTATATTTGAAGATAGCATACCTCTCTGTATATAACTGGAGTTGTCTATTTTGGTTTATTTTATATAGCATTCGGAGGTGAGAAATGGAAGACAAATGTTCTACTGACAGCATTCCTTTGTCCAGGGTAAGCTAATGTCTATGATTACTATTGAATTATCTCAATGATAAGCTTAGCTAAAATTTCAATAACATTATAGTATGCCAGAACTATGCATGAGCTGCATATTTTTGTTTGTAAATCTTGAACATATTAGCCATATGAACATTTGATTAAACAGTACCAGCATGACAGAAGTATTTTTTAGACAGGTTGCTCTTCATTGATGCTTGGTTTTATTCTGGTTTTACTCCTTAGGCTGCTTCTCAGACCACACTGTAGTTGGTCTCATGTTGTGTCATATATTGTACAATGCTTATGTTAAATCTTTCTGCTTAATCACAGCAAGCAGTCACCCCCTGAAGTGTAGTTAAGACAGACAGACATTTGGAGCTATTTAGTTGAAATGTCAGCTCCTGCTGGAGATCCGTCCTTTTGGATTATGGAAGAAAGGCTTGCTTGACCTCTTTGCCAGATATTTTCTGCATGTCACCTGACCTTAATGTTAGTCTAGACATAGAGTAATATGATTTCAGTAACATTGAAATTAATCAAGTGTGAGTTATTGTTTTAAAATCTTGTCTCTCTTTTAGCATAGTGTTTGCAGATTTCTTTATCATGAATCTGATTCTCTGGGGTGAAGGCTCCTCAGCAGCCATTCCGTTTGGTACGTTGGTTGCTGTTCTGGCACTCTGGTTTTGCATATCTGTACCACTGACATTCATTGGAGCCTACTTTGGTTTTAAGAAGAACGTAAGTGATATGTTTTACACTATTAATATAGGACATGAGAAATATATTTCACATATTTGACCTGCCTAAAATATGAATTTTACAGTATATCACAGGAGTACACTCCTCACATTGTGTAAATATTTTATTATATCTTTTCATGTGACAACCCTGAAGAAATGACACTGCTACAATGTCAAGTAGTGAGCGTACAGCTTGTATAACAGTGTAAATTTGCTGTCCCCTCAAAATAACTCAACACACAGCCATCAATGTCTAAACTGCTGGCAACAAAAGTGAGTACATCCCTAAGTGAAACTGTCCAAATTGAGCATTATTAGCCATTTTCCCTCCCCGGTGTCATGTGACTCGTTAGTGTTATTATTATTATTATTATTATAATAACATTTCTATGGCGCCCCTTGCCGAAGCCTCGGGGCGGCTTACAACACAATAAAATACATTGAAATACAATAGAACATAATAAATTACCATTAAATACAAAAATACAAAAAATACACTGAGTTACAAACATAATAATATAAAATTAAAATTATCAGTATAAAATAAGTAAATAAATAATATAGGAGGAGAAAAGAGAAGGAAGAAGAAGTTACCCTGGCCAGATCGTATGTTTTAACAATTAAAATGATGTTTAAATAAAAAGGTCTTTACCTGGCGCCGAAAAACCAGTAACGACGGTGCCAGGCGGACCTCTTTGGGGAGTGAATTCCATAGGTTGGGCGCCACCGCAGAGAAAGCCCTCCTCCGAGTACTTACTCCTAATTTCTTTCATGGAGGGTTCCTGGAGAAGGGACTCTCCCGCAGATCTCAAGGGGCGGTCGGGCATATACGGATGTAAGCGCTCGTTCAGGTAGCCAGGACCCAAGCCGTTTAGGGCTTTATAGGTCATAACCAACACCTTGAATTGGGCCCGGGCTTCAATGGGAAGCCAGTGAAGCTGACGGAGGACTGGAGTCATGTGAGCATAACGCCCCGTCCCCGTCAGCAACCTGGCAGCTCTATTTTGCACCAATTGAAGTGTTCAGACCGTCTTCAGGGGAAGCCCCACGTAAAGCGCGTTACAGAAGTCTAGGCGGGAAGTCACCAGCGCGTGTGTCACCGTCGCCAGGCAGTCGTACTCCAGGTAGGGGCGCAGCTGATTAATCAGCCGAAGCTGAAGGAAGGCGCTCCTCGCCACCACTGTCACCTGAGCTTCCAAAGAAAGCTCTGGGTCGAGGAGTAATCCTAAGCTGCGGACCTTATCCCTAAGAGGGAGTGTTGCACCATTCAGGACCAGGTCAAATCCACCCTCTCCGAAGCCCGATCCGCCAACCAACAGGACCTCCGTCTTGTCTGGGTTGAGTTTCAGTTTATTGGCCCTCATCCATTCCATTACCTCGGCCAAGCACCGGTTCAGCACAGCCACTGCCTCACCTGGATTAGTGGAAAACGAGAGGTAGAGCTGGGTATCATCAGCGTATTGATGATTCCGCAGCCCACACCTCCTGATGACCTCTCCCAGCGGTTTCATATAGATGTTAAATAGCAGAGGGGATAGGATGGAGCCCTGTGGTACTCCATGGCATAGCTGCCATGACGTAGAGACATGGTCCCCCAACACTACCTTCTGGAATCGACCGTTGAGATAGGAGTGGAACCACTGCAAAGCAGTGCCTCCAACCCCCAATCCCGCTAGCCTATCCAGAAGGATACCATGGTCGATGGTATCGAAAGCCGCCGAGACGTCCAGAAGAACCAACAGGGATGCACTCCCCCTGTCCTTCTCCCTGCACAGGTCATCGTACAGGGCGACCAAGGCAGATTCAGTACTGTACCCGGGTCTGAAGCCGGACTGAAAAGGATCCAGATAATCAGTTTCATCCAAGAGTGCTTGGAGTTGTCCCGCCACCACTCGCTCCAACACCTTGCCCAGAAACGGGATGTTGGCCACAGGTCTATAGTTAGTGGCCATCTCTGGATCCAGTGACGCTTTCTTCAGGACTGGTCGTACTACCGCTTCCTTTAAAGGGGCAGGCACTCAACCCTCCCTCAGAGAAGCGTTAACCACTTCCAAGATCCAGGTCCCAATCCCGTGCTTGGAGTTATTTATTAACCAAGACGGGCAAGGATCCAATAGGCAAGTGGTGGGACGTACTCGTCCAAGCACCTTGTCCACATCATCGGGCCGTAATAATTGAAATTCCTCCAATAATTTTGGACCAGACGGTAGCATTGGCGTCTCCCCAGAGACCTCTGATTCATTAGTGGAGTCCAGCTCGTGACGAATCTGAGCGATTTTCTCCCTGAAATGCCTGGCAAAGTCGTCACAGCGGGCCTTTGAGGGTGGCATCGGATCTTCCTTAGGACCCGGGCGAACCAGGCCTCACGTGTGAATGGGGAGCTGGTGTGTTAAATTTGGTGTTATCGCTCTCTCTCAAACTGGTCACTGGAAGTTCAACATGGCACCTCATGGCAAAGAACTCTCTGAGGATCTGAAAAAAAGAATTGTTGCTCTACATAAAGGTGGCCTAGGCTATAAGAAGATTGCCAAGACCCTGAAACCGAGCTGCAGCATGGTGGCCAAGACCATTCTGTGGTTTAACAGGACAGGTTCCACTCAGAACAGGCCTTGCCATGGTTGACCAAAGAAGTTGAGTGCATGTGCTCAGCGTCATATCCAGAGGTTGGCTTTGGGAAATAGACGTATGAGTGCTGCCAGCATTGCTGCAGAGGTTGAAGGGGTGGTGGGTCAGCCTGTAAGTGCTCAGACCATATGCCGCACACTGCATCAAATTGGTCTGCAGGGCTGTCGTCCCAGAAGGAAGCCTCTTCTAATGATGATGCACAAGAAAGCCCGCAAACAGTTTGCTGAAGACAAGCAGACTAAGGACATGGATTAGTGGAACCATGTCCTGTGGTCTGATGAGACCAAGATATTGCTGTAAGCCGCCCCGAGGCTTCGGCGAATGGGGCGGCATAAAAATGTCTTAATAAATAATAAATAAATAAATAAGCTTATTTGGTTCAGATAGTGTCAAGCGTGTGTGGTGACAACCACGTGAGGAGTACAAAGACAAGTGTGTCTTGCCTACAGTCAGGCATGGTGGTGGGAGTGCCATGGTCTGGGGCTGCATGAGTGCTGTCGGCACTGGGGAGCTACAGTTCATTGAGGGAACCATGAATGCCAACATGTCCTGTGACATACTGAAGCAGAGCATGATCCCCTCCCTCTGGAGACTGGGCCGCAGGGCAGTATTCCAACATGATAACAACCCCAAACACACCTTCAAGATGATCACTGCCTTGCTAAAGAAGCTGAGGGTAAAGGTGATGGACTGGCCAAGCATGTCTCCAGACCTAAACCCTATCTAGCATCTGTGGGGCATCCTGAAATGGAAGGTGGAGGAGTGCAAGGTCTCTAACATCCATCAGCTCCGTGATGTCGTCATGGAGGAGTGGAAGAGGACTCCAGTGGCAACCTGTGAAGCTCTGCTGAACTCCATGCCCAAGAGGGCTAAGGCAGTGCTGGAAAATAATGGTGGCCACACAAAATATTGACACTTTGGGCCCAATTTGGACAGTTTCACTTAGGGGTGTACTCACTTTTGTTGCCAGCGGTTTAGACATTGATGGCTGTGTGTTGAGTTATTTTGAGGGGACAGCAAATTTACACTGTTATACAAGCTGTATACTCACTACTTTACATTGTAACAAAGTGTCATTTCTTCAGGGTTGTCACATGAAAAGATATAATAAAATATTGACATAATGTGAGGGGTGTACTCACTTCTGTGATATACTGTAGGTCATGCCCTTTTAGAAGACTGGCTGTTTGAGCCTTGTCTGAATGGCATGCTTGAGTTATATTTATTACACATTATCAGACTGCAGCATTGCTGCACAGATACCTTGATCCTGACCAGCTTCAAAACAAATGGAACAAACCAGAACATGGCAAATAGTATTTGAAAACCGTATCAGATATATTGGAATCTTTGGTTTTAGATTTTCTTTGTTATAGGAGGAGTCTATATATTTCTAAGCTGTTTTGAATGCATACTTTATTCTGATTGTAATGATAAATACGGCATAAAATGCTTAGGAATTCTTTATTTAAAATGTCTTTTAAGGCTATTGAACATCCAGTTCGTACCAATCAGATTCCTCGCCAGATTCCTGAACAGTCATTTTATACCAAACCATTACCTGGCATTATTATGGGAGGCATTCTACCCTTTGGATGTATCTTCATACAACTTTTCTTCATTCTCAATAGCATATGGTTAGTATATATACTTCTTGAATGCTTCATTTCCTCTAAAATACTACCATTCTTGCTTTTAAAAGGTAAAAGAGAGAGCTTACACTTTCCTCTTGTAATTTTCTTGTCTCTCAGTACTATCAATTACTCTGTTTTGATGTCATGGAAATCCTATGTTACTTCTGCAAGTATGTCAGCTGTCTGGCCATAGGCTTGTGAAACCTTCTGACATAAAATTGCCTTATTCAGACCTAAAGTGTTTTGTGGCATCTCAGGATGTATTTATTCTAGTGCTCTGACATGATAGGAAACCTTGCAGCCTTAGGTCAGACTGTTTTGGTAAGAGTAATCTTTGTCTCTGTTTTCTAAAGTCCATTGAGCAAACTTGAATATTAGAATGGACTTAAGTCATAATCTCATGAATGACAACTTGTGGGTGCAGAATTGTTTGCACAGTTGCTGTATGATTTTTGCTGGAATAAGACAGGTAATGCCTGCTGTCCATAAGACAGAGTGACTTGAGAAGCCACAGTGTTTGAAGTATCTTAAAATGCTTTCTTGTGACTTTTTAATATTTAAACTTTTGTTTTATAGGTCTCATCAGATGTATTACATGTTTGGCTTCTTGTTTCTGGTGTTCATTATTCTGGTTATCACATGTTCTGAGGCTACTATTCTACTTTGCTATTTCCACTTGTGTGCAGAGGTAAGCCTACAGAATACATTTTCACAAGATAACATGCAATGTTTTCTTTCTTTCTGAATTTTAAGCAAAGTAGCAAAACTGGTTTGGAATCCGAAGTCGCTCATCTGTTTGTTCAACTTAAGGAGATTTCTAGTGACTCCCTAGTCCATCTGCAGCCCATGCAGCCTTCTCCAATCTGATTCTGTCCAGTTGTGTTGGAATACAATTCCTATCATTCCCAGACAGCCTGGTCAGTGATGAGGAATTGTGGCGGTTGTCATCTAAAACATATGAATGGCGCCAGGTTGCCTATCCCTGTCTTACAACTTTCAAATAAAAATGTATTTACTTGCTTTGAGGCCACATGTAACTCTGTGTTTTGGTTTTGGTTGTTAATGATTTATTTTATTTTCTGATTTGATATATAACAGTGCAGGTAGAGCTAAGCTGAATTTTGTGAAGTTCAAAGTTTATCAAGAAGGGAAATGTTTTGAGGAGCAGGATGTTTTCTCTAACGGAAGAAAAGTCTCCTTTAGCCAAGAAATTAGTATCCCTCCATCTCGTGGCAAAGACCTAACTTGAATTGGCTGTTGCAGCTACTGTAAAGGAAGCCTTGTGCAGAACCTGGCTGTGATCCTTTCCCTCTTTAGGGTTCCTGTTCAACTTGAATTCTTCTTAATGGTTCAGCACAGCATGATGTATATGTAAAGTTTCTTGATACATTTCTTGTAACTATAATGCATGATATCACATGTAAGAATTTTTTTCATCTAAAAAAATTGTGCTGGCTACTAAGTTGTTGCTCATGCCTACGTTCTAAAATATATTTCTACTTTCAAATATTTTAATCCTTTTAACTTGAAATGAACCTTATCAGTTTCCAACTGATGACTTTGTATTGCCTTTAGAGCACAGGAATATAGTAAAAATATGTCCATCAGTCATTGGGGTTGTGTGCCACTTCGGTATGATTTTTCGTTTCATTGACCTTAACCCCTGCTCACATTCCACACTGTGATTTACAGATACGATATGTACTGCTGCAGATGAAAAGAATCTAGCAAAACTGAACTAGAAAACGGACTCCAAGGTTTTGAGGAAGTATATGCTAACTTAGTTGTATGCTGCAAGTAAACTTAGATATATATCTGAGTACATTCCAGCTTTTCTAGAACTTTGTTTCATCTATAGCACCTGCTCTAAAATAGGATACACTTCACAATTAAAAAAGGGAGTAAGGCCTGTTACTGTGCTTGTATATACCAGAAGAGCAACTATGTAGTGTTTGATTATCTAAATATGTATTTGCAGATTATTTCTTTTTATGTTTTTAAAGATGACCAATAGCACAATCTTTTGAAGTTCCAAATAGAGGAATATTCAGGATAGTTTGAAATGTAATGGTTAAAGGGGAAACTAAAGTAACTCCTCTGAAGAATACAACTTTTATTTTTTACATTCTGGGACTTCTCACCATGTGATTTTGGTTATTCTCCTGTTTTGTCTGAAGCCTGTGTTACATTGGCTTGATTTAAATATTGACATGCAGCTCATAAGTTGGTCATTTGCAGCCAAATGTCTAGAAGTATTACTAACTTCTACAATGATCTCTATCTTTCTTCCAGGACTACCACTGGCAGTGGCGCTCATTCCTTACCAGTGGCTTTACTGCTGTTTATTTTCTAATATATGCCATACATTATTTCTTTTCCAAACTTCAAATTACGGGTACAGCAAGCACCATTTTATACTTTGGCTACACCATGATAATGGTATTGATTTTCTTCCTTTTCACAGGTAAATATACATATATTTTAGTACTTAGCATTGAGGTTAGAACACCTTCACTGTAGTAACATTGTCAGTAGCTTTGCATTTTTTTTGCTCAGAATATGCTTTTTTTCTAGTAGAACAGTTTTGGTTATGTGGACTCTTCTAGTTCAATATGCTGATAATGTGCGCTGAGATTCTTGCTGCCCTCTTGATAAAAATGTTTACAAAGGGGGAAAGCTGTATATCAAGGAGTACATAGTAAATTTCATTAGGCTAGAATGAGATCATTCTAGCAAGTTATCAGAATTACACACAGAGAGCCCAAAGGCATCTAGCATCCTGTGTCAAGTTGATATAAAAGCTAAAAAGAAAAACTCATAATTGTTGTATCAGAATTATTACATTGCTGCTTACTCATCTGTTAAAAATGGTCAGCCTCAAGAAGGGTTTTGACGGTGCCCTGCTGCTATGTCAGTGTAGCACATGCTTGGGGCACTTGCTTCTCACATGGCATTCCGGGTCATTGATCTGACACAGCAGGCAAAATACTGGGAGCTATGTGACAAATCTGACTCACAGCTGGGCCCATAACAGTGTCTCAGAGTAAATGAGTCAGTTAAACATCAGTAGCTTAGCTGCTATGAAAAAAAATGATATCATTCACAGCCCTTGCTGAAATATCTCATAGTGAATGAACTGTTGCTAAATTTTTGTTGTGCCAAACAAATGAGAGATTAAATTCCTAGACCACAACTTCCCATATAATATGCTCAGCAACAAAAGGGAACAATTCCATTATCTACATTGTCTTAAAATTATAGATTAGCAAAATATCAATTACATCAAATCAAGTAATAGCATTTTTAAAAAGCTAAAAGTGCATCTATACTTACATTTTATAAAGCTCTCAAATGCATAGTATCAATGGAAACAAGTTTCATTTGCTCAGTAGTTTATACAGTACCTTGCATAAATATTCACAATCATCCCTGGACTTCTCCATATTTGCTGTGTTATTGAAATGGATTGAACGGGCATTGTTGTCACACAAGATACTCAACACTAAGAAGGTGCACAATGTTTTTATTGTGGTATAAAGGTCAAGAAAATAAACTGGTACAACTATTCACCCCTTAACTCAATACTTGATAGAAACTCCTTTGGCAGCCATTCTAACTTGGAAAATCTTCATGGGTAACTATCAGCTTTGTTCATCTGGATCCTGCAGTTTTTGCTCATTGTTCCTGCCAAAACTGTTCCAGCTTGATCAGGTTGGATGGGAACTGTTAGTGAATAGCAGTTTTCAAATCATAACACAGATTCTTCATTGGATTGAAGTCTATGCTTTCATTTGGTCATCCTAAGACATTTAGTTTCTTGTTTATAATCCACTCCAGTGTCACTTTGGCTGTATGTTTAAGTTTATTGACCTGCTAAAAGGTGAACCTCCACCCCAGCCTGCAGACTGCAACAGTCCTGTATTTGGTTTTAGTCAACTTGCCCTCAGTCCTGACCAATCCAAGGAAGAGCTGCCAACACCATGCTTCCCTGTGGAGATGACATTCTCCGGACAATGAACACTGTTGACTTTGTATCACACATGACATTTGGCAGGAAGGCCAAAAGTTTCATTTTGGTCTTATCAAATCAGAGAGCCCTATCCAAGTTTGCTGTGTCTCCCACATACCTTTTGACAAATTCCAAAGAGGCTTTGGTATACATTTGTTTCAGCAATGGCTTTATTTTTGGTGTCTTGAACCTTCACAGTGTTGAGTATATCAAGTGATAACTATACCAATTCAAGCCATTTCAGTTCCAGATTGTAATACAAAACATGGAAAAATCAAAGGGGTGAATACTACTGCAAGGCACTGCATCTTCACAAGGTTGTGTGCATTTAAAAGTAGTATGACTGGTTATTTTCTATCCGTGAGCAAACTATTTAATGATGATGCAATCAACTTCCATAGACATTGTCTCCTCAGTTTTGCTGAGATGCTGTGATTCCCCCCCCCCCCCCCCACCAAAAAAACCCCTCTCAAGGATCCTTCTGTAAAAGGCATAAAAGAGCCCATTTTTGCAAGCAAGGATCACTCTAGGCCAGTGGTGGCAAACCTATGGTACACGTGCTGCAGTGGGCACGCAGAGGCCTCTCTGTTGGCATGCGAGCCAAATTACCCCAGCAGCCGAGCATCGGATAACAGTGCACATAGGGGCCATGCACATGCTCAGAAAGGAGTAGCGGCGCCAGGCAATGATGTCATGATCCACGACTCATTAGCTGTGACTTATCCGAGCTTTCGCATGGCCGGTCAGTGCGCTGCCAAGGATACACACACACACACACACATTTTTTGTTTGGATTGGCTGTGAGTTATTTTTTCTAAACTAAGACCTCAATATTCAGGTTTTATTGCAGTGTTGGCACTTTGCAATAAGTGGGTTTTGGGTTGCAGTTTGGGCACTCGGACTCTAAAAGGTTCACCATCACTGTTCTAGGCTATAGAAGCATCTGATAGCTTACCTGCTGAGATCTGTCAGATGCTTCCCAAAGGGGGTGGGCTCTGCACAGGGTGGGTACATGCTGTACTTAGCCAGGAGACACTCCTCTTCACACTACCCACCTCATGCTCTTCATGTGCTTGAATGATGTTGCATCAAAGCTTTTTTCCCCTTTGAACCATTTTTGGGGAAGGTGCAAAAAAATTAAAAATGCTTGGCTGTCATTGGCAGTCCTCCTAAAATTCTACTGGGGCAACTTGGATATAGCTGTCCAAAGGGGGATTGCGGTATTCCAGCACCACCCACCACCAATAGATTTCAAAGAGAAAGGCTACTGTAGCCCAAAACAGTGGGTTCCAGCAATTGTGTGAACCACATATATGTCTTAATCCTTCTGTAGACTATTTCCATGTGATAAGAGTTTCTGCAGAAGTGTCTTCTAGGGAAGAAGTATGACCACATCTCCTTCCTTGATTACATTAAAGTGTGATTTGCCAAGCAGCCAGCCAGTTAAGCAAGAGGGTTATTCTGCTGGACTACTTTTACCATTAGGCTCCCTGAATCATGTCACAACTAAAATGACTTCATTCTATCATTTTTCAAATGTGTGACTGTCAGAATAAGGAGATTGTGCTTTAGTATGGTGTATGCACATTCATTAAAGCTGCATTCCTGTGCATACTTTCTTGAAAGTAAGATCCTTTGAATTCAGTAGGACTTAATTGCCAATTGATATGCACAGAGTGAGGCTTTTATAGTAAACATTCTCATTTTATTGAGACATAAAGAGGTCATTATTCTCACTTAGAAACTGGCTGAAAATCCCTTAACTTTGAGTAGGTAAATTTTACCTTGAATTCCAGAATTTGACTCTGCTATAGACTGAAATGTGTTAACTGAGGGCAGAGATAGGGAACAGTAATATAGTGACTTTGGATTTGGCTACCAGAAATAAAAGTACAGACAATTGGCTTAAAACCATATTGCCAGGACAAATGTGTGGTAACCATTCTTTGAAACATTAATATTTTTTAAGAAACTAAATTACAACAAAACAAAACTTACAACTAAAATTAAAACATACAATTAAACATACAGTTAAGATAAATCTTAAAAATACTGTGCCCCACCAGCACCAGGCTTATAGGATACATGTTACCGATAGAACAACTCATCCAAACATTCTTTCAGGATATTTCTGCCTTCCAAAATGGCAATGCTTCTTTTGGCAGTTGAAATCCTTTCCCTTTGTTAAGCACATACACAATAAATGCACTCCAATCTCATTAAACTTATTTTTCTTTATATGCCTATTTCTCACTTTAAAATCACAAATTAATTTATCATTAATAGCTATATTCCAAACTTCTCTGTACTAAATCACACAATTGGTAATCATGTTTTACTTTCCAGTTCTTAACTATGATTAATCTTTCAGCAGTTATTAAATTTGTTATTAATTTTTTATTATTCCAACCCCATTATTTCTTACCGAATGCTGAAAGTAATGTGACCTCAGGACATATTTAAATATTTGATATTTTACTACTACCTTTAAAAATCTCTTTGCGGAGATTCATTATATATTCACATTCCCACCTTATATGAAAATATTTACCCACTTCATGATCACATCTCCAACATAAATTGGAATTTATGAAATTCACTTTCAGTTCACTTTCACTGGAGTTAGGTACACTTCAATGCAATTTTATTAAAAAAATCCATTCTTTCTGATATCCCTTTTAATATCTTTTTTACCCAAACATTTTCCCAATCCACATTATTGATGTTGTTCTTCATATCTGTTTCCCATGTTGCTTTAAGTGTTTCATATTGATTCTGTTCTTCCAACAATATCATGGTAGCCATTCTTATGTAGTAACTGCTTCAGCATCCACACCTACCAGCAAACTATGAGGTAAAAATGCAATTGAGCAGTGCTTCAGGGGTGGTGCTTCAGTATTAAGATTCCTGAAAAAAATGGATATACTGTGGTGTAAAACTGCATTGCGTGATTGTGTTCTAAAGGCAGCAAAAGCACCATAGTGCTAATGTCGCAAAGTATCCATGCTGGATGAAAAGACTTTGTATGGAGGTATGAATTTACATTTCTATGTTAGATACTATGACGGATCCATTGATTTGTGGTCTAATGTTCAATAGCACATACTTGGCATATTTTGATGTTTTGTTTTGTTTTTGTAGGAACAATTGGATTTTTCGCATGCTTTTGGTTTGTCACCAAGATATACAGTGTGGTAAAAGTTGATTGAAGAAACTGTCATGTAGGCCTAATATAGGCCTTATCAACCTAATTTAAAAACATGCTCTTGGAGAAGAATTTAAGCTTTATCTGAAGTATTGACTTCTGTACTTTATGAATGATACTGAATATACATTTTCTTCCACTCAAGCATTTGTATTGTAACTTTGCAAACTGTTTTCACTTGGGTGTTCTTAATGAAGATTGATTTAAATATTGTATGCATTTGTAAAAATTGCTATACTAGAAAGTTTAAATTCTAATGACAGGTTAGAAGTGACTGCATTACAAAATTTAATGATACATCTACAAGTATGGTTGTAAATATGATTTTCTAAGTTTGTTGGGTGGGGTTAATTATTTTTTCAAAAAGAACTAGTTTCTATCATGATTTCGAAGGTTTACTCAGTGTTTTTAATTTGAATTTTCTGTTTTACATTGGAGCTATGGCCATAAATGCTTCTCCCTTTTTTCCATGACTTCATTAGGTTTCAGTGATGTGTTAGCCTTTTAAAAAATGTGCCTCTTGGGTCTTGGAATCTTAATATTCATAAAATTAATAAATACTGTACACATTTCAGTGATTATTACACATTATAAATACATAAAATTCTGTAAATAGAAATATAATATGTTTTTAAAATATGTAGATTTTATGGTTTGTTAAATTCTATGTTGATTTAATTTTGTACATTTGTTCCATACTCACAATGTAATACTCCTCTTGAACAGCATAAAATGCCATTTCTTTAACTGCCCTTTCTGTCTTAATCCACTAGTATAAATATATTTAAAAACTGGATAATATGTTGAAAGGATCTGCCTACATATAAGCAAGATAGATTCTTCTAAACAGATTTTATGATGCATATTAGGTAGAACAAGTTAAGGTTTTGTGCTTTTGACATAAACAATTAGAATCTCTACTCACCTCACATTAATAAAGGGTTTTGGTTTGTTAGATGTAGAATTAAAATTAATCAACATCTTTGGAAACTGCAATAGAAACATGCTTTTTGTGGTGGTGTTTGAAGTTTAGTGATTCACCTGTTAGTAACACCTGCATGTTTTCCACAAGAGCACATCTGCTTCCATGTAACTGCATGTTTTGCACTCAGAAATTACAATAGCAGAAAAGAACCTATGTTTTTCTAATGCTCTTTCTAAAGATCATAAATTAACTATGCTTGAATATTAAAATCCAATAAAATACATTTTGTTAATAACTTACAATTTTTAATTTGATCGTATAAACTGACATTTACATTGTACAGGAAAGCCTGAATGGTTTTATACATGGTAAAAAGAAAACATGTTTGAAATGTGTATTTTGTTTTAACTAACCCAAACTTGTACTTTGTTGTGTAGTATAGGACTTTCTGCTTGCAGAAAATGTCTCTGGATATAACCCCTTCTGGAGCAAATCCCAAAGATGGTTTCCATTAAAAATGGTATGCAAGAAAAAAATATTAAAGCTAGTTTAAAAACTCTAGTCAGGCAGCATCAAGCATAAGTGAAATGCTAAGCCGTCTCTAATGTGTTACTAACAAACATATGTTGATGACAAATGCAAACAATGAGAAGTCTTGATGAGCAATTCTAGGAGAAGCTCCCTAGCACAGTGCTATGCTTGAGTGGAGCTGTGGCTTCTGGTGTCCATGGAACTTGATTCTTCATTCCCAGAAGAGAAGGGGTAGATGTCATAGCAGAAGGTATTGCCATTCAAGGCTTTTAAGCTTTGAATTATGGCTTGAAGTTAAGTGGGAGCAATTAAGCTTCTTTTCATATTGGAGTAACATATGTCTGCTGTTGTTGTTAGTTGTGAAGTTGCGTCCGACCCATCATGACCCCATGGACAACATTCCTCCAGGCCTTCCTGTCCTCCACCATCCCCCGGAGTCCACCTAAGCTCACGCCAACTGCTTCAGTGACTCCATCTAGCCCCCTCATTCTCTGCCGTCCCGTTCTTCTTTTGCCATCAATTGTTCCCAGCATTAGGGGCTTCTCCAGTGAGTCCTTCCTTCTCTACATCCAAATCAACCACAGTTTGTACTATATTCTTTGGCATTGCTCATTGCTTCTCAGAACTGTGCTGTTGATGGGACAGAATATGGTAGAAACAAAAAATCTTGAGAATAAGGTTACTAGAATATTTTTATAAGAATTGCCTCTCGGTGCTCTTTCCTGTTACTTCTCCTTTTAAGAACAGTATAGTCTGTAGGGTGACAGAAAAAAGCAGTATTAAGGAGTGAAGGGGAACACACAAATGACCCCTCCTTCCCGTCCTTTGCAGACTAGATGACATCAAAGGGTACGGTCATGGTCCAACAACATTTGTTCCCTGCTGCTTTGGACTGGGATTAGCTTCACTTTGCTCCTCCTTGTGCAGTTGACTCCACCTGCCATCTTGTTCTAAGCTGTTTTTTCCCATGGGGATGTGAGGAAAGGCACAGTGCAAGTTAGTACCTAGCTTTGTTTGCTGTACAAATGGACCTGTCCTGTATGGAGAAGAGCAGCTACTCCCAGTGCCAGCAAATTCTTCCTGCTGTCCCGTCTGATCTGTGATCAGAGATAACAGCTGGGATTTTCCTGCGTATCGTTCACCTAAGGGGAAGGCTAGTGCTCCCCTTCTGTTATCTCTGATCACAGATTGAAGTTAACAGCAAAAAAATATCAGGGGAGTGGGGGAAGTTTCCAGTTTCATCCACCATGCGTTGTTCCCACAGGAATGAGATGTTGTGGACTTCAGTTCCTAGAAGCCTGAGCCGGCAAGACCAATGACCAGGGATATTGGAAGTTCGAGTCCTCCCTTAACATTATTTAATAATATTCCTGTGTATTGTTATGTATCTTCTGTGTATGTGCAACACTACTGCTCCTTTATTTCATTATATCACTATTGTTTTATTTAAAATTACATTATCCATTTCTTGGTTCCATCCCATCGCTTTTGCTGCCCTTTCTACTGTTGCAAGTATTTGCTTCAGTGTATTTTACCTGAGCAGGTATATTTTTTGATGTCCTCTCTGCACTCCTCCCTGAACTCCCTTTCCTTCTGTATTTTGTCTCAATGGACAGTAGCTGCTTTGGGTCAGGGCTTGTTTTGGACTTCTATGTATTTTTGTAAGTAGGTAGTCTAACACGGGCGGAAAGTCGGTTTCTGAGTGATAAGGTTGTAAATAAGTAGAACTTGAGAGACTGACCTATAAGATGTTCTTTCAATTGGATTTTCTGAGATAATTCTTTCTGTTCCAGAAAATTGAACAGTGTGGTTTATGTGCACTCTAGGAGGTGGGGATACCACTTTTAAAGTACATGATATCTTAGTTGATAAGGGGGATAGAAATAAGGGGAGAGAGATCTTAGAAAACCTTGTGGATAATTCTGAGAGGTCTTTCTTGCTACAGAAGTTTTGTTCTAAGAACTTGGCAATCTTCCAGAGAACTGAAGAAAAATATTTGATGAAAATGCTTTTAAGATTTGAAGAAAACTTTCCCTTCACCAGCTGTCACCAGGACCAGAAAGTTTAGAAGTACTACTACTATTTGTACTTAAATGGAAAGCGTATAATGTTTTTCTTCTTTTTCTCTTTTGAAAGCCCTTTAATTTAACTCTTAGCATCAAATATATTGTAAAACATTGGCTTTACAACAAAGGTAAAATGAAAGAAATATTTGAAGACATCTCAGCTGAGCTAAATCTAGATCAGCTACTATTCTAATACCTATTAAATATACTAAAAACTTCTGTAATATACATATAAAAAGTATAGCAAAAATAGGCATAATTACCTTTGACATTTATTCACATATCAGAACGTAAAAAGATTTTCACCAAATTAAAAAATGATTTGAGATATGTTTGTTGAAAGCAAAACCTATTTCTGCTTAAGTATTACAACATCAACTTTTCCCTATTAAAAAGATCATATTCCTACTGAACAATAAGGATAATCTTACATTTAGTGTATGTAGACTAGATCTGACTGATTTGTTTCACATGAAGATGGAGAGTTCATAAGTCACACTTACCAGCTGTGCTTTATGCATCCTGTAGCCCCACCAAAGCTTACCAGAAGTAGTAAGGGTGGGAGGAATGAGAAAAAAAACCCCTCTTATACCACATTTGAATACAATTTCTGTAACTTTCAGGAAGAAAAAAATGTCTTCTTAAAAAAGGTGAATTCTAAAATGACATGTTTTCCAAATGAATGAGTCAAAGATTTTGTTCTTTCTGCGGGAGAACAGTTTTTAAATTCAGTAGTGATTAGGTGAGACAAAAAGCTTTTACAGAAGACTGCCAACTGTCAGGTCTTCAAGTCTTCCTTGTTTGGGGAGGACCCCCCCCCCCCACGTTCCCTTCTAGTATACAGAGGCAGGGCTCCCCCCATTTCCCCCCATTCTTTTCCATCTGCCATTTTGGGATCCTTGGGTTTCTCCTAGCATTTCCCCTCAGACCTTTCTAGAACTTTCTATCATTCTCTTAATCCTTTCCTGTCATTCTAATTCATTCTCTTTTCTACTCATTTTTTCCTTATAACCTTACCCTTATCAAGAACAAAAAGCAAAACCTTTCTATTGCCCTATCTTTTTCAGACTTCTTCCCTCAGATATCATCTTCTCTTCCTCTCTCCCAAGGCATCATTTAGGAACTGCATGTGGTGCAGCACACAACTGATGAGTATTCTTTATATCTACTCTGGGCAAAGACCACTTACTTGGTGGGCTTCTGTTCTCATTGTTGTTTACCCAGCAGGCTCAGAAAAACCAAGCAGGCCGGTTCAAGATGGAGCTGTGGAGCTGTGCCCTTATAACCATTCAGTCAGTCATGGCAACCCTTCGACATCTTGGCCAACCCTCACCTCTCATTCATGATTGACAGCTACTGCCTCTCCAACAGCTGCTCTATCTGTGCCACCCAAGCCTGGATCTGCACATGAAGAGGAGAGGCCTAAGAAGAGGGCCAGGAAGACACAGGATGGTGGGCATTGAGAAAATGATCGTGAAGAAGGGCAAGGACAAGCCCAAAAAACAGGCCCAAAATCACTTCCCATCAGCATTTTCTTGTCGGGCATTTAGGCCTGTTCCACCAATGGTCCTGGCTGCCACTCCAGCATTGGCTGTTCTGCCGATTCCAATGCCAGTTACTGTGCTGGTTCCTGCAGTGGTGTCTCCAGGCTTGATGCTATGGGCAGAACCAATCACCTATTTGTCCATCCCTAAAGGAGAAATATGAGAGTCTCTTTATGCCAGCTAGTCTGCCACCTTTGCCTTCTCCCAGGCTCCTCTACTCACTGCAGCAGGAGCAGCAGCCATGGATGCTGCCTCCAAGCCCAGCCACTGGGACTTTACATGGTGTGTTTCTCTAGTGCCATAACACACCTCAGAACTCTTCAGGTCCCCACCAACAACCTGGGACCAGGAATCCTTCTGGATGCTGCCACCACCTATGGATCCATATTACCCATGAACCCACAGTACTCCAGTGGGGCACATTGACCTGCTGCACAGCAAAAATATGGGGAACAGTTTCCATGACCCTTCCAACACCGTTGTTCCTGCAGCTCTGTCCCGGCACAACCAACAGTTCCCACTTTCCAACCACTGGTTCCTGCCTGCCAGCTGCCTACTCAAACCCAGTCTATTCTGCCTTGTTGACCTCCCTTGCCATCTGACCATTCCTCCCCACCAACTATGCATCTGACTTAGACCAGCTGCTGCTCTACAATGACCTGGTTTCTTCATCGCTCAAAAATGCCATAGTGGTACATGGCCAGGGATACACCTCCAAAAACCTGGAAAGGTTCTTAGAACAGGTCCTCCGAATGGCAATGTCGCTTGGGCTGGATGCGCAACAACTTAATGAACCACCAGTGCATGCAGTCCATGGCATTGTCCCAATGGAGGACTCCATGCTGGTGGCTATTCCATTCCTTCCTATACTTCTACAATAAATGAACCATGAAAGACACCGACAGAGCCACAGCCAACATGCCAGCTTTTGGAGAGCTTATACTGGGTCCAGGAGAGGGACATCCTGTTCCTGCTACACCATCTGCAACCAAATTCTGTCATCATGGAGTCTGTGCAGGGTTGAATGCAGAGAGAGCACTCCACTCTGGTGGATTGAGAGGGAAGCCATTTGGGCTCTATCCAGGACACATGCGATCTCTTGGAGAGATTGGGACTATGTATTAACAATGAGAAATCTGTGCTTTTTCCCTTCC